GGGGAGGGGGGGGGGGGGGGGGGGGGGGGGCGGTTCTGTTACTTCTGTAGGATGAGGAAAATGCTGGGCTTGCTTTGAGGAAGAGTGGTGTGAGTTTAGGATAGGATAATAGGTTAAGTCTGGGGTTATTTTTATTTATGGTTGTTGAATCAATGAAGGTGTTGAGAGTGCTGAGCCGTGGGAGCTGCTGGCTGGCCTGGCATGCGTACGAACCCCAAGATGCCCTCACTCGGCGTGAATGCAGATGATATCGAGATGATAACATCTATATATAGGTATATAAAGTCTAGAACCTCATACATGACTGCACTCCCCTCGATCCTATCTATTCTCAGCACGCTCACTCTAATCATTAGTCTTCTACAAAGTAGAGACAGCAGGTCCAGATGTCCGAGTGAAAAAAGCCGTCTCAAGAACTTATTCCATATTCATCTTTGGCCTTTCTTGATGATCTTAGGGGGCTCTTTTCTCGTGGTCGAAAACCGTATCGGTGAGGTATATATAGAGTCTGGGTTCTATAGTGAGAGAGGTTCGGTAACGCCGGTACTCCTCTGCGCGTGGTCCGGCATGCGATTCAGGGTGAGACAGGGCGGTACTGTGCTGCACCTCGGGGGGTTTTATCAAAATCGATAGTTGGGGTTGTACGGCATTGTAGCGAGGGGAGGGCCTAGAAGGACGGGAGGGAAGGGGAGGTGAGGCTTAAACCTTTTGAGTTTTGGGGTTTGTGTAATAGGGGTATGGAGGGTAGGTGGTTATGCTGTTCCTATTGTTGGTGTAAGCTTTGTAGAGTGGTTGGGTTTATTGAGCAGTTCTGGTTGAGAATCGGCCCAGCTGAATCTGAAAATTGTGGCTGGCGGAAGAGAAGGGAAAATGAGTTTGACATTCAATTAAAAAGTAGATGATCCAATAAATTGAAATAAAATTAAAAGAAAAAAGAAATGGAATATTGAAATAAGGGAGACCCCACCTCTCAACAACAGCACGTGTTTCCCACGAACTCAATACCACGCATATGGTAGCTGCAGGCTGCAGGTTCAAACACGCTTAAAACCCATCACCAGAAGATCGGTGGAGCGATGGCCAGTCGTGTACAGTAGTTGCTGCTTGATCTCAGGATCGACAGACGGTGCCTGTTGATGAGCGCTGTAGTACTACTTACTAGCTTCAGCTGCATGCAAGACGGACGGTACGATAGGCGAGAAGAGTGCATGAACCGCTCCGTGAAGCTTGAGTTCAAGACTTGCACGAGAAGATGAGGCTGCGTTATTTTTCCGCTCTATTTCGTTGTCAGATTCAATAGATAAAGATAAGAGCTTCTATAGTAACCATATCCGTGGCGGAATTTGTTGGCCCTGGATATCTCGGCTTAGACGATTGCCGTCCGGTGTAAATAGTCAGCATCTCAACGACTTGCCCGAAGGTTCCGCAACAGAATACATTCTCCTCGGAGTCCGAACAGATGTTGAGAGAGAGATATTCTCGGTGAAGGTGAAGACGCCGTACTCCGAAATCAGAATCTGGTGTGTTGGAGTCTAGAATCTGGAGTTCAGAGCAGAGCACTCTGGGGGCGAGTCCTGAAGGGCCAGACCAGCCTCGGCACGGGATAAATCATGACAGTTGCTTGCGATGGCATTGAACCCTACTCCATCCTCCTTCTCATTGGCCACGGCTATGATCGGAGCACTTTGGCTCTTGGGTTGGACCTCAGGAGGCGATAGACGGTGGCACCGTCGACCGCGTGGAACCATGAGGCGAAAAGGCGAGAGGCGAGAGGCGAAAGCGAGACGGGGGAGGTGGATCAGTCGGGACTCAGGTCATTGCCCGCTGGCAAGAAGAATACCGATTATGGACGGAGACGAACGTTTCATCCAAATGGCAACACTTCAGATCTTCCTTTCTTCAGATAGTCTCATCATGGATAGTCCCCCTCAACGCACTCGATGCACTCAATTCCAAACATCCCGCTCCATCGCTCGGAAAATAATGAGTCGTGGAGATCTCAGATATGTTGCATGTTGAGGCGACTGTCTACTTGGCAAACCCCAGATGGTCTGCTAATTACCTCCTGATACTGATAGGTTGCCAACAGCTGAGGGTCTCGATCCTCGGCATTGGCCCTTCCAGCTGAGACAGGATTGGATCTGGTACTACTGAACCGCAAAAGCCGTGCTGGTGGTGCGTGCTCTGCTGTCTCCCATTGTTATTGGTGAGAAAACGAGCAGGGCACGGGGTAATAGTGGACTCGGTGGAGTGGTGGGTTCGACGGTCGACGGCTTCTCCAGCACCGACAAGAGTCCTTCAACAGTCAAGAGATGGTACGCCCGTAGACTGGACTGAACTTTGGGATTTGGCCTTGTGGCTGGAGCTCTTTCTGTGCCTCCGGCCCATCCCACCGGCCGGTATTGAGGCTACAGGATGATGGCGTCTGGGGCCCGCCCGTCGAGTAATGTTAGACCTCTTCTTGCCGCAGTGAGACATGTTGGAGCTATAGATTGCAGATCCACCGCGGATGTCGAATCATCGATCGAGCTGCGTTGCTCGTCTCTGGGGGGTTCGTTGTATCACCACGCCTTCAAGAGTCAAGAGTCAAGTCAAGAAGCAAAGGTCCCTGAGAAGCCGTTGGAGAGTCCCTGCGTGCATGCTGCAGAAGGGAGACCCCTCGCCACTGTTGCCCTTCCAATTGAGATTCCAAGCATCAGGTTGTGGATGTTGATATGAAGAGTGTCCATGCCTCAGCTCTCTACATCATACGACGACGAGCCATGGGAATTGTAAGCATGAATAATGGATGATCAATAAATCATACCCGTAATGATCATGATAATCACAGCAATCACAGCAGTGAAGGGAGAGGATTTGGAACGCTGCTCCACAGCAACCATGTCGCAAGGCGGCCTCCTCCGTAGGGACCATCACTATTGATGAGTGAACCGTCTGAACCAGATACGCGCGGTGGGACCCTCGATTTAGAATGCTTGACGGGGCGCGCACGATCGACCGTAAGCCTACAGTAGGTAGGACTCTGGGCTGCGGAGATGTTCGCAGGAGGAGTGGAGCTTCAGTGGAGAGTCTGGAGCCGTGATTTGCACCATGTCAAGAGCTCAAGCCAGACTCGATCGCTATTCTTGTCCCATCGATCGAGAGGCCGCTGCAGAAGAAGTGGCCACTAGTCTTAGATTCTTCAGTCTTGCAGTCTCAGAGACCTTCAACTCGCAAGCCACCAAAGGCTCCGGGCGGCGCCAAAGGGGATCCGTCAAGACGCCAAAGATTCCAAGAGACACCAAGCAGAGCAGACTTACGGACACTAGGAAAGCTTCGTGCCCGCAACTCAGCACGGCCAGCTCCCAACCAGCGGGGGCGCTCGAGTGGCGGGCAGCAAATCAGACATTTGTGTTTGCGTAGGCCAACCCCGACTGGGCATTGCTCTCGACTGTCCAGTTCGTTGAACACCCTTGAAGGTTGAACTATTTCCATCTGGGCTCCTTAGCAAAGAGGTTTAGCCACTGACCTGACCCTGACCTGGCCTGACCTGAACGGATTTGAGTTCTGAGATGGTCTGACCTGACCCGGTTAGCCCCAGCTGTTCAGCCCGTCTGGATTGGTCAAGGGTACGAGGAGGGCGAGACACCGATGCTTGGTATATATAACTCCCGTTGCTCTCCTGGACTCGATCTCGATCCCGGTCTTGGTATTGATAAAGGATAAAGGCAGAGCAAGAGAAAGACAAAAAGACAAACAGAGTCGGATAGGAAATCTACAGCTTCGCCTTCACCACTACTCTCAACACCACGCCGAGTTACCAGCGCTCATCACTGACAACTTCCCTGTACCCGGCGTCTCCGAATCGACTGACTCGATACCTTCATCTTCACTTAATCGCCTGATCGATCGTCCATAAGGACTTATTACCTCCACCCGCCGTTGTCTGGCCATCACCCTGATCGTCTTCTCCCCTGTATTGGCATCTATCCAGCTCCAGGCGCGGGCCTGACAACCGTGACGTGGGGATAGAATACCGCACAGATAGATATATCGACCTACATCAACCACCTCTCTTCCATCCGACTTCACCAATCCTCCACAATGGCCGGACCACATCTTCAAATCCAGACCGAGGTCTCCTTCTCCCCTCGGTCATCCCGCCCAGACACCCTCCGTCCAGACAGCTTCAGTCTCCCACGGCCTCAATCGCAACCACCAACCACCTCAAGCCACGCCCATCGGGCATCCACCTGCTCCATCTCCTCCGATTCTACCTCCTCAGCCTGCTCCCCACAAGAGACCTTTCGCAACTTCGCAATTGACTTCGGCCAGGCCCGAGTCGAAGTCCTCCGCTGCTCCCGATGCGCCAAATCCGTCGAGACGGTCTCGCGATCCCGGAGCGCCGATGGCTCTAGGAGGGTCAGCAACGACGAGGCCATGGCCAACGGCATGGTGAGCTTCGGGCACAATCTCTATTACTGTGACCGCTGCGCGAAGATCGTCGGGTACACGTGAACATGGTGGTTCACCTCCCACACCACATCCATCACATCTCATCCCATCACATCACATCACATGTCCGAGGATTTTAAAAACGGAGAATGATCACGGTCTCTTCCTGAAACTGCTGGCTTGCCACCCGTCTTTCTCTTCCCAACGAGGGATAGAATCACCATATCGATAAGGGATATCTCCCCTGAAACACCACACTGAGCACCCATGCCCAACCTCACATAGTGGAGCAACTCAGACAGAGAACCCAAGAGGCAAAGGCTGTCGTGAGACTCTACAACACAGCACATTTTCTTCCCCATCTCTCTGGGGTACTATCTGTATATACATACCCATCATTATTAGACCAGGACTTGATATCTCATATCGTTCTATCTATCAGCTTTGTTTCTATTGGCGCTCTACCAGGACTCGGTATTGGATATGGGAATCTTGGAGGGAGAGGAGAGGAATCGACATAGTGTCTTGCCTCCTCGGCGTTTTTGTTTCTGGGTATTATAGACGGAACGTGGAAATCTTCATTTACATCCGGAATTTCCGATGTTTATGTATGCACTTTATTGGCGCAAGGAGGAGACCACGGCTGGGCTGGGCTGTGCTGTGCTTTCAACAGAATTAGATACCAATCAATTAATTGCTTTTCATCGATCGCCATGTCCCCCAATCCTTTTCATGTATATGTAAAGTGAAGATTCAGTAGATATGATTTAGAAATCCTGTATACCGTACCATCGACCTGAGATACGCCCTCCTCACGTGCCAAGTCTCATCACGAAAGATAAGGTAATGATGATGATATCATAGCGGACTATATATATCTCTTTCAATATCTATCTATATCTCTCTTCTCACGACAAATCCTCTACATATAGTAAACTGCAACATGTAACATCCAATTCCCCCCTCTATTTCTGCTTCCTATCTATCCAACTGATTTAACCCTCTCTCTCGAATATCTATTTATCTACTGAGCCAATCTCCAATAAGAAAGCTGTACCTATCTACGTATCTCTCTAACTGCTCTATTGTGTATCCATATCTTTCTTTCTTTCATTCATTCTTTCTTGATCGAACTTCCTCACATTCCCAATAATAAAACAAAACAAAAGAAAAGAGTGTCTGTCATGCCAGTACCCAAAAGGCCCAGATCCCCCCTCTTCCCTTTCCCCAAACGCAAACCCTGCCTGACCCAAACTCTCAAACCCCACCTCAACACAAAATCCCACATCATCCGTTGGAAAATTACAAGTGACGCAAACATACCACCCCCCCAAGACCTAAACCATATCGGGATCGTTTCCTACCTAGGGTGTTCGACGATGGTTTGAATGGCGGCGGCTCGCGACCAGGAGATGGGAGGTGAGGGACTGGGACCCGGAATGGGAGATTGTTTGGATCTGGGGTGGCTTTTTTGGGGGGCGGGTTGGGGTTTTTTAGATGTTTGGACGGTTTGTGGATGGTTGATTGGTTTGGAGGTAGGGGAGGGATTGGATGGAGTGGTTGTGGAGAGGTTGTGGAGAAAGGTGGAATGGGGAAGAGGCTCAATTTCACTCACGGAGGACATCATATGCGTTCGATGAGGGAGGTCTGGAACCCTGTCGTAGAGACGATACAATCACGAGAATACATCACGAGGCTTCAACATCCATGCGAGAACCAATTCGTATTGAATTCCTTCTCGATGTACCACTCCCACCACACACCACTACACCCCCAGCAAAACCAGACTGTCAGAAAAGCAAACGAACGCCACCTATCAAAACACCCTGCCAAACAGCATCACAGACAGTACATTTCATCGCAATCCCATCCCCGCACAGCCAAAATGCACAAAAGTCCATCTTGCCCTTCTATGCATGCATAGCACGTTCCATTCCCGTTTCCCAAACACCTTCCCCTCGCGGGGATACATGAGTAGAGAGAACCCATCCACCATGGTCCTGAGTTTCCAAGCAAAGAAGGCCATGTCCCAGTAGACTCGCATCCTGTGTCATTACCTAATCCCGCCTCCGACTGGAGGACCCGAAATCTGGCTCTGGAAGCGTCTTCTTCTCCTTCCGACTCTTGACCGCGAATTCTGCAAGGAGCGACAGGTGATCACTGGGGAAGTGGTAGTTGGGGAATCCAGGTACTCTCTTCATGTACTCGGGATCCACGCCTCCAAGCAAGGAGGTCACTTCCAGCGCATTGGTCGAGTAGAAGATGTGATCGATGACGCCAACGAAACCAGGCGTGTAGTTGGTGAAGGTCAACTTTTCGGGTGTCTCATCCAGGATGCTATAAGCCGACCGCAGGGAGAATGGATGCTCGATACCATCCCGTGTAAAATTACCGTATTGGAAGCCACTGAGGTCCGCATGATCGGGTGACACACGGCCCTTCGACAGGAGATCGTAGACACTAGAATCAGCCGTCGAGTTGAGATCCACGCACATCAACAGGGGCAGTTGAGTACTACTCGTGTACTCCATCGATGGTGCTGGTTCCACCTCGGTCTCGGCGTTCTCTGGATTTGGGCTCTCGTCTGCGATTTTGTAGGTCTTCTTGTCTTTACAGGGTGGCCATCTCGCATATTTCTCAGCCAACTTGGTGACGCTCTCAGTTAAGATGGCCGTCTGGATCAACTTGACATCGGGATAGGCCGGATCCCAGAATAGATGGCCGTTCGCAACAATCAATCGTGAACCCGTAAGCCTATTTTCGAAGAAGGTAACAATTGCCATCTGGTCTCTTGGCATGACGCGATTGAAGATATCATGTTGGCTCTTCATGTCAGGCCGATTGATGGCAATGTTTGCGAAATCGAGAAGTTGCTTATCCAGCAGTATGTACTTGCTACCCTTGTAGAAAGTGGCGCACCCATCGACAACCTTCCTATCCTTCTCTGACATTGTCTTTGCTCGAGCTTTTGGCCAGAAGACACCTTTGTAATCATCGTATGCAAGCTTCATCCTGAAATATTCCTCGAAGCTATCCACGTCTACTTCTTGGAGACAAACGATATCGGCATCTGCCTTTTGGATCTCTTTCAGAATCATCTCTTTCCTGTAATCCCAAGCAAGAGCCTCTGATGGAGTGTAGTTGTACTGCGATCGTGTAGCGTTGTCGCAGAGAATATTGAACGAGAAGACTTTGAATCGCTCTTGGTTTGCAGGAACAGGCGTGCCTTCTAAAAGGTCGATAATTGGTCTTTCATTGGGAGGGAGAGGTACTAAACCAGGTTAGCATATATCGACAAGGACATTTGCGCTTTCTTACTTGGCGTGGATTCTCGGAGGTCATGGATAAGAGTTTTCGTGCCCTTCTCTACGATGACCTGCTTCATGGCCGCATCTAAGGGATTGCCTTCAATGCCCAGCATATCCAACTGATATAGTGACCCTAACTCATTTGGTAAGGTCTGGATATTGTTGTCGAATAAGAGGAGGTTCTTTAAGTATACACACATCCCCAGCTCGGGTGGTAATTGTGTTAGCTGGTTGTTTGATGCATCTAGGTGTTTCAAGTGCCGTAAGTGACCGATACTAGCAGGTAGATGGGTGATCTTGTTGGATGCGACATAGAGCTCGGTCAAGAAGGTGTAACTGAATAGAGGCGCTGCTAACACTCGGAGACCCTGGCCACTGAGATCCATGTTGTTCCAGTCTTGGCGCTTGACAAACTCTTCTGGATTTGATGTCCGTCCATGATTCTCCGTCTCATTTTCTTGGTTTGTGGCATTTGTTGCGGCAGACGATATTCCTCGATTTTCTCCAGCCTTAATTCTTGCATAATGATGAGGAGCGTGTCCTTCCACCATTGCTGTATGCGCCCTCTGAGAATCCTTGTATAGTTGCAATTGCTCGGCCCAGTGCTCGTTGATGGGCTGAGTTTGTCCTGTGCGTGAAATCGTCGAGTGCCCGTTCTGGAGACTGGTAGGCGTGAAGCTGGGTGTTGAGTTTGACAGGACCCCCGAGAATGTCGAGTGATGATTGAGACCATTTGCCGTGTGCGCATTGTGATCTTGTTGGAGAGTAGGGTGGTGCTGGGCGTGTTGCTGCTGGTGACTGTTCTGGTGCTGAAAGTTGTACATCATTGGCATCCCTCTTCCACCTGGCCCACCGTTGACACGGCCATGCTGCCCTTGCTGGTGGCTCTGATTGAACATCCCGTATAGATTATGTGCGGGGGAGTGAGAGTCTGGAGATCGAGAAGGCGAGGGAGTATCAGTCGCGAACGCGGATCGGATGTTATTGGGCGGCGTGCTGTTGCGCAGAATTTGGTGTCTTGGTTGTGCGTGCTGAGGAAAGTAGTAGTTTCCAGCGCTCTGCTGTGCAAATCTGTAACCATCGGCCATCTAAAGCAGCTGCTGGGAGATCAATGGGAGGCGTTGGCTCAGGGGAATGAGCACAAGCCGGTGAAAAGTATAGGGGGGTTCGAGGGGGGCTTAGGTTGGTGGTGTGGGGAGCGGGGATCGGATCTTGCTTCGTTGGCACATAGGTCTGCTGGAGAAGTTCTTCGAGCATCTACCACGTTTGGAGAACAGAATGCGCGCAGGACCCAGCGCTCCTCAGAGTTTATGTGTCTTGACAGAGGAACGTTCGGGGAGAGCCTGTTGGCTGGCGGTCATGGAATGACCAGCGCCTCTGGGAGTCGAGTCGTCAACCAGATTCAAGGGTCAGGGGGCCGACGCAGATTCTACCTAACGTGTCATCCCGTGTAAGCTGTGGATTTCAGAACTGAGGATGTTGTTGAGTTCGAACGCGCCTGGGTTCTGGGCCAGGGAATGGGGCTGTTCCTACCTCGCTGGGGAAGACGCGCAAGTCTTGAGTCAAACAACAGGGTAAGGATTCGGTGGAGCAAATCAATTCTAGTTGTGCTGGGCTGAGATGTTTTGTTCGCGGCTCATGAGGATACAGTACAGCTTCAAGTCTAGATCGGAAGTACCTGGCAATGGGGGCGGGTTAGCGTTGGGTCACGTGCAGCTCAACGAAGCGAGAAAAAACCAAGAGAAACGATTCTGAACCTTGACAATTTGAGTGCCAGTTGGGACTGGAGGCACTCTTATGCCAATTACAGACTCTTTGCTGATATCAAGGAAGAAGACCACGACGGTAAGTCATCCGTCCGTCCAGAGAAGTGCTACTATCCAAAACCTCCACTACTGTCGCGTTTCTCCAGCGTTCTTTCATGGCCATCCCACGTCGCGTCCATCTGCGAATATGGCCAGAGCACAAAGCATTGAGGGCGAGTATGGCATGTCGATTCCATTCACACTTCAGGTCACTTGATAGGCTCTTTCACTTCATACGGCCCCTGTCAAAGCCGCATCGACCCGTGAAGCTGGTTCCCGTCGCAGTGAGACGAGTCCTCCAAAGGATCCAGCGCCTGCAGCCTCGAATGCCAGCTCGAAGACTTTCTATCCAGCAACGCAGGATATTCAAGCAGGGTGCTGTCTGACTCTGGCAACCTGGGTCAATAACGGTCTTATGGAGAGCTGCATGTCATGGAACTTGCGACAACTCATTCCTTATCAATCTTGAAAGAATATGTTCGAAATTCCGGTGACATTCTTTGCCCAAAAGAATTATCAGACAACGGTGGTGGCTTCATTATGAAATAAACTCCTTTGATCCCGGACTTCGTGCGATAGCTGATTTTTCTGATAACAAAGAACCTGTGCAAGGGGAGACTGGATCATGACTTGTTGGATTTCATTGTCAGGCTGAATCATCAGGAAGGAAGCCCAACGTCACCCGATAGGTAATCGTATCTAAACAACCGATAGGTAACATACCAACGGTCGGAAGGGGCCTTCTCGGAGTGCGTGGATATATACCAGGGCCTTGCGGAAGTCAGCATGGACGGGCCGGGGCGGGCATAGCAGCAAATGGGCAAATGGAATGTATCCCGAGGGGGCTTCACGGCTTCCTCAATAATCCCGTCAATCAGAGGCGTCTTGAGACTCGGATGGCGGCTTGCTCCCTGCGGAGAATTCTAATATCTCGGGAGCAACCGCCAAGGTATACTCAAGTCAGCAGCTGTGCTCGTGCTTGTGCTTCCTCGTGCTATTATAAGACTTGAGGATCCCTTCGAGGGTGCCGGAAAGACCAACTCTCCACACTTACACCAGACAACCCCGCTCCTGCTGCCCGCGGTTGCATGGGCATATCCCAGATCTGGGTTCTGTCAGTTCTCTTGATGTGAATCTACGTGTCAGGACTCAAGAGAGCCGGCCCCTCGCTGTGACTGTGGTCGAAAAGGGGCTGCTCCAGCGTGAATCGTACATCTCTCGCCGAGTCGCTCTGCCCACCCTGCGCCGTGCTTTGTACACTCTCCCCTGCTGGTCTAATCCCTCTCGCCAGATTTTCCAGATCTCCCAGATCTCCCAGATTTTCCCGGTTTCCCTGTGCGGTGTTCTAACTTCTACTGTGCACCCAGGACGTCGTAAGTAAGGTACCCTGTAGTAGTTAGGCAAAAACATGCTTCGGATATACCGAAGGGTGAGCGAGACGAGACGAGCCCAAGAGGCGAGACCGAGACGCCAGATGCGCGGGCCAGATTCGCTCCAAGGCCTGTGTAGTCATGTACGTAAAGGGTGATGGGAATGTTTGGCCGTGCTAAGGTACTCCTTTCCTGACAACTGACACACACTACTGTATTTAGGGACAAACGTCTCACTCCACCAACATGGCTGGGCCAGCTTTCTTTCTCAACATTCATCCCTTCGGACCTTTCCAACTCCTGCTTTGCATGTACAAATACTTGAACCTGCACTCTTTTTCCCTCCTGTAGCCCATCAACGCTGAGCGTCCGAGATCCCATCTTCGCGGAACATCCCAAGTACGCCAAGATCGATACCCCTGAATACCTATCTGCCAATCCTCAAGTTGGAGTGACAATCGCAGTGCGAGTTCGAGTGCGATAGTCAGGCACGCGTCTCTTCTCCCAGCAACAATCCCCCTCCGCAGGGCGTCGAGTGAGCTTCACACGACGATCGTATGCTTTCTCCGCCTCTGGTCGAGTTTAAAAACGCCGCGAACCAAACCAACAAGGCGGGAGCCGCTGCTGAAACGTCACGAAAACCCACCTCGCTGCCCGGGAGCAGTGGGGACCGCAAGAATGCTGTGGAGTCCCGGGCGCTGGCGTCCAGAGGGGACAGGTCCGGTCGGTCCAGCAGCATATCGAGCGCGACGAACTCCAGTGGCCTCACGACGCGGACATCCAACAACCCTCACGCAACAGATCCCTTCCTAGCAAAGCCATTCGCACTACGCCATGGCCGACGATATTTACGAGACACGACATTGCCATATCCCCTCCCCTGTGACCTGGCTGAGATCCATAGACAAACCCTCCGCACCATGCTCCTATGCCAGGTCTTCAATGGACCTATATGCTCACCAGCGTTCAAGGATAGCCCGCCGACACGCGTCCTGGAGGTTGCGTGTGGTGCTGGATTCTGGAGCGTGATGTGCCATCGTTATTTTACCCAACGGGGCTTCCCCCCCATTTCCTTCACGGGTGTCGATATCGCGCCTCTCGCCCCGCGGATGGAGGCGAACAGCGATATGAACTGGCGATTTGTACAGCACGATCTACGGCGGATGCCGTTGCCTTTCCGGGACGAGGAGTTCGATTTTGTCATGGTCAAGGATTTGAGTCTCGTCACGCCGGTGACAGGTTCACAGCAGCGGACGTATGATGAATATTTCCGGGTTTTGAAACCTGGAGGCACAATGGAGATTTGGGACGGGGATCACCCTCTACGAATGCTATTACCACATACACCACCATCTACAAAAGAGGGCGGTGACATTGAATTTGAGGAGCAGTTGCATACAAACGCGATGGGTACATATACATTGACAGCGCAAACACCACTGGCAGCAGCACAGAATCAATTTATCCAGGACTATAATGGTTGGATTGCCACGGCCTTGGAAGCTCGAAACCTATCGCCTATGCCGTGCACGCAGATCCGACCGCTCCTCCTTCAAGAATCCGAAGCCCTGACAGACATCGGCAGTCGACGACTCGCAATTCCGCTCGGTGAAGTACGATGGGAGCGCGAAGGGGTCGGCGGAGTCATAACACAAGGCTCGACAGGAATTGGCCATACCACCTCCTCCAAAGGCAAGGTCAAAGAGTCGGAACGCAAAGTCTTGACTGCAGGGCAAGCGGCTCTTCGGAGAACGGCACTCCTGACTTTTGTCCAGATGATCGAGCACCTAGAGCCCGTGTTAAAGGAGGTGAGCGGTAAGGGCCAGGACGAGTGGGACCGCTGGTATGGGAATATGATGACCGACCTGCTGAAGAACAACGGCACATCGTGGGGAGAATGTTTGGAGATTTGCGCTGGGTGGGCCCGGAAGAAGGACCGCTCCCCCTAAACACCGCATTGAGGTCGTGCGGATTCTTTTAAACACGAGATACCTTCCACATCTAGGCTTGGAGTTTATAGTGGCCAGAGGGGCATTTATCGGGGGCCACAATTCGCATATCAATGGTTTGGTTCGGTCCCGTCGTATTGTCATGGAGGATATTGCCCACTACTCATATTTTGTCGTATCGTTTCCGGAGCGTTCTGTATCGTTTCAGATAATACCTAGATACCCTCATAGTCAGCCATCCTTCTGTCTAAACAAGACACCAACTTTTCTACGCTGCCCAGCTCCCGTGCTCCATGTGTTACACTTACAACGCTTCGATTTCTGCACCACATTAGCTCAAACACTCTCTCCTCATCTGTAGGCACCAACCTTTCTTCACGAACTCCGCCCGCTCAATCCCCTTCCGTATCTCATTCTCGTCGGTGAGGCCCGCATTGCTCGCAAACGCCTTATGAAGGCGTGGTCGGAAATAATTATACCCCAATGGATATTCACGGCCTAGATACAGCAGTTCTTGAAGGATGCGTTAGTTTCGAGGTGCTTTTCTGGGATCTCCATGCCGGGTGGGGAAGAAGAGGAGGCGCATACCTTTGTAGATGTTGATGACCTCTCGTCTCAATGCTGGATTCTGTGATGCCATTATCTATCTGCTCGTGCCTCCTCTCTCTGTGCGCGGGTATGCGTCTCTTCGAGGAGCGGATCAATATGACTGTTGTTATCCACGGGTCCGCAGGCAAGAAAGAAACCAAGGACTCACGACGGCCGGTCCCGAAGAATAATATAGGATAGCAGTACGAGAAAAGTAATGATGAGGTATTGTAGCGCATCTCGCCATCCTTAAAGCCGCCGTCGGTTCCCTTCCCCTTGCCGAGGCGTTCCGAACCGCGGGGGAGAGGGGCCATCTAGTTTTAAGTAAAGCTTCGAGCTTCAACACCTCCTCTTCCTCCTCTCCCCAATCCCCAGAAATCGGCCCTGTTCGTGCATTATCCATTCATTCATTTTTGTTTGATTGGTTTTTATATTTCCTTTCAGAGATATATCTATCTATCTTCGTACAGGGGAGATCAAAAATGCAGCTCTCCCCAGCGCCATTCGCGCGGTGCTTGAAGCAGAACCCTATCCGCGTCTGCAGATGCTCATACTCGACCGCGAGTCCGCCGGCGCACTCGCCGCGCTGGCTATCCGAGACGAAGCAGCGGATTGGGAAGTGCGTGATGTTTGGGATGGATAAGGAGCAGCTGGGGAGAGCGGGCGTGGTGCTGAGAGCGCTGGGTGAGGAGTGGAGAGAGCTGGTTGCGGGACGGGAGGGCTTCTTGACGGATAGGAAGAGGGCGGGATTGCTTCGGCAGAGGGTGGTGTGGGGGGAGATGGATTGCATGGTGCGCGCGTTTTTTCTATATTTCTGGTTCTTCTTTTTGAGTCTTGACTGGAGAGGGAAGGGAGGCTGATATTAGGGAACAGAGCCATGTGAACAACGTAACGTATAACCGCTACGCCGAGTCGGCACGCATCAACTGGGCTTACAACTATGCCCTCCATCATGACCCGGCGCACAAGGAGCTGTGGTCCCAGCTGTGGACGCCGCGCGGCGACGGCCTCATCCTGCGCTCTATCCGCACCGACTACAAGTTCCCCATGACATGGCCGGACCGCATATCAGTGTTCCACAAGCTGCGGGCGCTGCCGCGGCCCGGCGACCACAGCTTTATCCTGGACGTGGTGATCCTCAGCGAGTTGCAGCAGAGGCCGGCGGCGCGGTGCGAGGAGGACATCGTGGTCTATGACTACAGGGTTGGGAAGAAGGCGGAGATCATGGGGTTTATGATGGATGAGTTTGAGAAGACGTGGAAGGAGCAGGAGGAGATGAAGGCCAAGGCGGAGAGAAGGATTGGGGAGTTGGAAGCGGTGGTTAGGGGGCTGGAGAAGGAGACTTGGGATAAAGAGGGGGCGGTGGAAGATATGGGCGCTGCGGCCGGGAGGTAATCCGGGGAATAGAGTGAAGATTGAGAACTTATATATTGTGGAGTGGTAGATGGTAGATGGTAGATGGAGCGCTCGAATTGGTCTATGAATGTGGTTTGATGGGATGCATATAGCAACTGGCGTCCAGGTATATTCTTAGATCCTCTGAAATTTTAAAGTAGCAAGGAGTCTGACGGCAACTAAATCAAGACCAGCAATTGCCAAAAATCAAAAGTTGTAGAAGTGGGCTCCTGTACATAGTCTTTCCGAGCATCCGGATGAAAGGTGTGGGGAATAAGATGATTTTGAGGGGATGTGGGGTCTAAAGGCTTAACCACAATTATACATCATAGGTACGCAATAGTACTGCCCTACTCCAATCACAGATTGCAGGATACGCCGTTGGAAATGGAGAAGAATCCTCGTAGAAGAGCTCTAGAGAATATCTTCGATGTCAAAAGCGTAAGGGGATTTTCACAGCCAAACACTTGCTCATTGGAGGTTATTAATCTTAGAAAATCGCCATGAGAGAATGCCACATAGATGATTTCTTCTGGAAAAATAGTAGCATATCTTGGGGTCTGGAAGCCATGAGGTACATGGACAAGTCAGTCCTTATGTATAGGGACTTTACCTGACTGCACCGCCGAGGTTATCGGAAGACATCACGTGCAGCCAGCTGCCGAAGTCTCCAGCGGGGAAAATGCAATGCACATGCGTTGGGTCGGCGTCAAATGGAGCCCCCCCTTCGACCCCAGACTCTCGTAAAAGCATGCTAGACCGGAGAACAATCGGTGGCCAGAGGAGGGATATATTCGGAGTCGTGCATGTATGCGTTGGCTGAGAGAAGGAAGATCTTCATGTTGCCAGGAATTGTGATGGCCACCGCTTTTGCACCGCCTTTTTACCTCTGAATAATGAAGCCTTGGCCTTGAGTCCCGAGTCTTGTGTCTTGACTCTTGCTCTACTCTGTATGGAGTATATTTGCCTTACGGAGCTCTCCGTCTTGTGGCTTTCGTCAATAACAATAACACGACAAACACACCGCATATGATTGCATATGATTGCATATGATTGCATATGATCTGAAGCCTATAAGCTTGAAGGTCCAATGGTATAGCACGGGGTAATACGAAGAGGCACAGGGCTCCCGATGCCGCCGCCGCTGTCGCTGTCGCCGTCTACCAGCTTCCATTGCGCAGGCAGTCAGTTTAAAAGAATTCCCGATTCTCTTCACCGGGGCTCAAGCCGCAAGGCAAGTCATCCCATTCTTCGTCCACACTGCGGCGGTGTCGATCTCCGAACTGTTCAAACGACAGAAGTGGTCAAGCGTGAGCACATCTACAGCGGACTAGGCGTCTAAGAGAGATGGCCTGGCAGTTCGTCACGACATACCGCCAGTCATGTTGCTGCCCACACCCCTTCACCGGGACTTCGCCCTTTATTCCATCATCTCCATGTCGATGCTTGGCTTGTGAAGTGCCGAAGCGGCCAGGGCGCTGCTAATCCCCCATAAGCCAAAGAATGGGGGGAATAATCTGCGCGAAATCATGCACATGACTCCAGGACCACTGTACGACTTATTATTACTCTGTAATCCGTACCTCTGTGGTGGTACTGCTTGTCCCCCCCCTCCCCCAGTATCAACAAATGCTACTGTGCGCTCACAGTGCAGCCGCTGAGGCCTTATCTTCGATAGTGAAAGGATCGCCAACCTTATTGCGAGAAAGGAGTCAGGGAGGTATCACGAGGCGGCATCCAAAGTGCCATTTACCCTATCCCGACTTATCTTCCTGCGGGACAAGAGGGAGCGAGAGGGGAGGGGCCTTGGATTGAGCGAGCAGACTCTGAATCCCAGCCCTCTCTCTTATCTGATCCTTGGCAGCAAGTACCGATGCGTAGCCATGTCATTGCGATGTTTCAGGACCGCTGACCACAACTTGGACCAAGGATGTAGTAACTTGTAAGGCCATATCAGAAGGGCTTCCGGGCATGGAGACGCAGCACCCGCAGAGAGAGGCATATGATCTGCTGCGTGCCGCAATACTGCACCGCGTGAAACTTTTGATACAGTAATAGGTCTAAGCTAAGAGAGAAATTCAGAAAAAATTCCCCACAAAAGAGGACGAGCTGGGTAATTCTCATGGGCGCGCGAGAGGATCGCTATAACGTACCAGGGTTGATGCAAAACTGACTTTTCCTGGCGGCGCTTTTTTTTTTCTTCTTTTCCTGCGGTGCTTATGATTCATGGCATGTGCGAGATCGAGCGGCCGTAGATCGATACATACTCAGATCTCTCTTGATATGCCAATGTGTCCAAAGATATAAAAAGATACATTTAAGGTTGCACGCGCCCCGGCATTTCCAATCCCACAGCATTCCTGCCCTGCGGCTGTGTACAACACGGCTGCCACCGCCCTCCGTACCGCTTGCCGTACTGGGACCGACCAGGCCCTCTCGCCAAGCGCACCTCCAACGGTGACCGGTACGTACCCAAGACCTAAAACCTCTAGCACTTTACCTTAACCTCTAAACCTTTAAACCTTCCAACCTCAAAACTCTCTCTCTCCCGTCACCCTCTTCGCCTCCTCTCCTTGCCCTCCCTTTCTCCCCCCGACCAGTTCATATCATCTTCACCTCCCGCCGAAGCATACATGACCCCATTACCGCATTGATTAGGGTCATCCTTTACCTCCACGATAGGTCCGCTAACACAGGAGAAGCCTTGGATCCCGCCGTCCAGGCTGAGGTGCCACCAGCTCCCACTTCGCTGACTCGGAAGGCGCTCTGGGTCAGCAGAGTCGCATGCCTCGTGCTTCATCTGCGACCAAGCGACAGCAGGGTGCTGCAAACCAACGGGACACCAGGCATGAGAATGGACTTGTAGGCCCTGGGAAGAGGGTGCAGAAACAGAAGAGCAATGGCCATCTCAATGGCCACGCCAGATCCTCCGACGGCCTCCCAGCACCTCTTCCTGCGACGCCTCCCCTCACGAACGGGCATGCGCGGCATTCGCTGCCCACGGATCATAGCGCGGACCGCAAGATGTCAGTGGACGCTCTGAGGAGGCCGTCGCTCAGTGCCTACTCGGAATCGTCGTCGTCGGAATCTTTCAGCACCATGCCCGGCATGTCCGTTTCTCACGAACACCACCGCCGTATCGATGTCAACGCTGCGAAGAACCCTGCTGTGCACCGCGATTCCGGGCCTTTCAACCTGGTCCTAACCGTGCTGCAGTCCTGCCCGCTCTACGACACCATTGCTATCCTCATCGTCCTCTTGCAGATCCCGCCGACATTCCTATCAATCATCCACCTTCTATTTGCTACGCTGACCTTCGTGCCCCCTTCGTTCTCGGCGAATTCTGGATTAAGCTTCACGGATATATTTGAGGGCACATTGGGTACGCCATCGGTGGCAACGATTATCGTTGTCGATTTGCTCGTCTTGTTAGTTTGGCTATTCTTATGGGCCCCGCTTCAGGATATTGCGTTGGATTTGGCACAGACAGTGATCGCGTTAACGCTTGGAGGAGGCACCGGTGGCCGGGAAGCGGGAACGAAAAATGTTTTGGTCTGCTTCGGTATCATTGGGGCATCCCATTTCGCTCGCAGTAGCAATGTTAAACAGTCTGGTCTCCGGGCGATCATTTCTTCTTCGGCAAATGGACTCCTCGGGTCGACGGATCCCGATGACCCCCTCGAGACGTCTCAGAGCCATAAAAAGAGTGCTCATGGTTGGATTCGGAGCATTCTCGCGATACATATACTAACACAAGGAGTTGTGCGGTATATTCGTGATTGGTACGTTAGGCGGGAGAAACGAGATACGATCATATCCGTAGGCGATCCTGAAGCGGCCAAAGGATCACAAGATGCCAGCGAGACACCGAATACGCAAAGCACGGAAAATGATTCCTCAACCTCCTTACCCGTTAGCAACCTGACTCCATCAAAGAAGAGAAGGAAACAGAGTGCACAGGTGCGGATACGGCAGCCTTTATGGGCCGCTCTAGCCAGCACGAAGATTGTCATGGTGAAGGAGTATGAGACATCACACGCAGCAGCTGAATCTGCCGGCACGAACGCAACAGACATCAACAACCTTGGAAATGCACCTTTTAATACCGAAGCAGACCGGATATGGATAACATATATTGGTTCTGACGAGGTTCGCTTTGCTACTAGTTTTTTCCCTACCCACTCACCGCAGAATTGTGAGGAGAGATGTTCAGATTCTTCTGGTATTGATAAGTCGAAGCCATTCTTCGTACGAGTCAATAAAACCGTGTGGCAACCCACACGGGTCAATGTCATGACCGAACCTGATCAAGCACCAGGACAAGAGACACGTTGGAACGGTGAGATATTCGGACTGGCGCCCATGTCCAACTACAAGTGTGAATTTATCAGCACGGTGGATGGCACTGTCCTTTTCTCTACGAGTGTGCGAACTCTCCAACCACGAACTGACATTTCAGCTGCTGGAATCGCACCCAATCCCCACGTGCCTGGGCGTCCAGGTTCTCCAGCTACCACCCTCAGGACTTCTATAGCTTCTTCGGAAATCAAGCTCGCCGAGGAACGCAATCGTCAAAAACGCGAACGCAAAGATCAACGTGCAAAGCAACACAGCGTCCGCAAGGAGCTTGAGAAGCTCAATGGCACCATATCTTCAGCTGGTAGCAATGATGACAGGTTGCGTCAAAAGATCCATCAGAGTAATCTTCACATGAAGCAAGCCGAAGAAGCTTTCCTCGCCCTTGAGGCTCAAATTCAATCCCTCGACTCTGTCCCTGCCGTAGACGAGTCTGAATACAAGTCTTCCAAAGCCGCCTATCAGTCCCAGAGAGAGCAGCACAAGCAAGAGCGCGCTGATTTCAACGCTGCAAAGCTATCTGCTGAGCAAGAGACCCAAGCCATGAAGAATGAAATTGCCTCTCTTGAACAAAAGCGCGAACGTATGCAAGCCCGTATCGCGAAACTCAATGGTGAGCACGAGCGAATTACGGATGCCAATGCACGTGGTCTTGATGAAGCTCAACGCAAAGCTTCTGAGCGACAACGCAAGGCAGCTGAGAGAATGAACATGGAGATGATGTTGACAGAGCGCCTTCAATCTATCAATGGTCAAATCGACGCCATAACTCTACCCCTTCAAGAGCTTGCGGCGGTTGTTCAGAGCATGCAAGTACAGGAGATGGAAATGTATCACGCAGCCCAAGCCGGAAGCCCCACCACCTCTCTACCTAATTCAGTGTTTGGAGTGGGTGATATTCCAGAGGGCAACGTCCCTGTTTCTTCGAACTACCCTTGGAATCCGCAGCCAAATGCTGGGTTATACGGCCCTGCCATTTATGGTACGGGGATGTTTAATTCGCCATCCTCGCAAGGTCTCTACAAGCGTGGTCGGAGCAGTTCTATGCACAGCAATATCTCTGGCTTTACCCAATCGAGTGGTGAAGGGCCGATGCTGAAACCGAATTTCTCGAGATGGGTATCGGACGAAAGGGCAGGACAATTTGAGAGCATTGATGGGAAAGACAGTAGTGGGAGTGCAAGCCGAAGCGGGTCCGGTGCTGGCAGTGTTGGAGATCCCAAGAGTCCACTTGTGGAGGGAAATGCCAAGCCTGCAGTGAAATGGGGTAGTGGTGTGTGGGATGACAAGTAGATTGATGCGTGTGATGTTTGGATGAGGAATGAACATGTGTACATTCTAGGTGTGATAGACTTCAAGATCATTACCCCTTCGCATAGAATGTATTGTCCGTGTATGAGTGTCAACTGCCATATCAGCCGATGAGAAGAGTTTCAGCTGCATCACCATCTATTAAGCATTTGTCCTAATCCTTGGCTGCCGATATCAGGCATAACAATATATTTGTATTAAGTTTTAGACAGGCTTATTGGTAATACTGTGTTCTAGCTTCGTTACGTGTATAAGTCTCTGGAGTTGGGAAAGGGGAGACGGCTTGGTGAGGAACCTGCTCGCTTGTCTTAACTCCGATCAATTTAACTATGGCGCGTCGCGTCAACGCGTCTCCCGTCGAACTTTAACCTCGACATCCAGTCTCCAAACCACTTCAACGACAAATTGATGCCGAGGAAATTAGCATCACTGCAACCATGATCCGTCAAGAGTTCTCACGCATAGACCCCAAGCGTCGAACGACGCTCCACCATAGCAAGAAACAATTCGCGACCCCGACGTACAAGGAGCTGGAATACAAGCACCGATTGAACTTCTATGCCACTCCTCCCACGGCGGACATCACTTTGGAGCAGTTTGAGCAATGGGCGATCGACCGGCTGCGCGTGCTGGCGGAGTTAGAGGCGTGCTCGTTCCGCAACAAGACACCCGCCGAGACGGCGGCGCACATGAAGCCGCTGCTAGACAAGTACCTGCCGCTGAGCTCGAGCACGAGCGGGAGCACCGGCCTTCATGCGGAACGGCAGAAGGACCACTACTCGCACTTCATCCTGCGGTTGGCGTTTGCGAGCACAGAGGATCTGCGCCGGCGGTTCTCGCGGGTCGAGACGATGCTGTTCCGGATCCGATTCCAGGCGGATGATGCGCGGGAGAGGAATGCGTTTGTGGAGAGCCTGGCACTGGACTGGGAGACGGTGGGAGAGGAAGAGAAGAGAGCGTTGGCAAAAGAGTTGAGAGATAGCGGTGGTGGGTATCCGAAGATGATTGAGGAAGAGAGTTATTTCAAGGTGGACTGGGAGAGGGTGCCAGAGTTGGTGGAGAGCAGGAGGGTATTTTTGAAGGGTGGGAAGGCGTATGTTCCGGGTAGGGAGCAGCTGAGTATGGTTGTTGCGGAGTTTACGCAGCGTCTAGATAAGGCTCTTGAGGTATGCCCTGCGTTCCTTTCCCTGGTTTTGGTTTTGTTGCTGACCGAAGAAGCTCACATCTCGTGCTTTACCACGTCTCGATGAAGATGACCGCCTGACGCCTATCCTAAATCACCTCTCGCAAAACTTCACGACGCCTGACGCCTCCTACTCCTCCACTACTTCATTACCTGGGGCTGATATCTCAGCTCGTAACATCGATACACTCTCATCCTCCTTCCCTCTCTGCATGCAGAATTTGCATCGTTCCCTACGCCGTGATGCACACTTAAAACACTACGGGCGTCTGCAATACACACTTTTCTTGAAGGGCATCGGGCTCAATCTCGAAGAATGCCTCATCTTCTGGAGACAAGCCTTTAACAAGATCACAGACGACACGTTCAACAAGGAATATCGATATAATGTGCGCCATGCGTATGGGGATGTTGGGGGAGATAGCAATAGGCGGGGCAATGGATATAGTCCTTTCAGTTGCCAGAAGATCCTCACAGAACATCCACCTGGGCCTGGAGAGGCGCATGGATGTCCATATCGTCACTTCTCGGTAGATAACCTAATGAATCTCCTGAATGCGGTAGGGGTGAAGGACTCCGAGGTCCTCCGGGGAGTCAGGGAGGACAAGGAAAAGATGAAGTTCCATCTTGCTTGTAATAGGTATCCCTCCCCTCTTCATCTCCCATACTTTCAAGAAATCTCTTGAGATGGGATAAAACTAACATACAACAGAGTGTTCGAATATGCGCACAAGCAGGAAATCAAGAAAGTCAAGGATGACGGGACGTGGGGCGCGGCTCAGCTCGAGACGATCGTGCACCCGAACGAGTATTTCAAGCGGAGCTATCTGTTGAAGAACCTTGGCAAGAAGCAGGGGGAGGATGGGAGTGGGGATGTGAAAATGGAGGGATAGCTGTAAACGGGTAGTAGGGGCCGATGAGAAGGAACCGCGGGGTCTGGCGTTTATATTGGGCATTGGTGTATGAGGAATGGTAATGAACGAACAATTCAGCAAGCGCCGAGTTGTAATGAGAGTTGGGTACCTTGGTTAAGAACAGAAATGCTGTGGCGTGCCCTGCTAAGCCCAGAAAGTAGTACTTTCTGAGTCTCGAGCTGCAATGCCTAAGTTGAAGCCATTTTTTGGTCCAAGAATGAATCCTTGGAATCGAAGGGGAGGACGGATTTTTTTTGCCCGATTAACAGAACAGGGATGAAGTATGTATGTCTTGTACTCCCTGTATACAGTGTACAGATGTGTATTAAAGAAACAGGCAGTTGGTATGAAGGAGCACGTGATATCGGCGGTAGTTGTTTATTTAAACTTCGTACTTCGTACTTCTGACTTCCGACTTCGACTATTGTTTCCAGATTCCAGGAGTTCTCTATTATCAGTTTTCATTTGCATTTCTCTGATAGCGGAAGTCTGCTCCATGGAGAAGATAATCTAAGTGGCTGGCGAGCGCCTTCCTCTTTAACCCTACCTATCTATGGAAGTACTGCTGAGGGTGGCAGTATGACAGTTCCGATTTATTGACAACAAATATGCCATTCCACTAGGTCTGGATATGCGACTGAGGTACTTTTCAACACCTCATGGGCTATTACTTCTTATTTTGGAATAACCTCGTAAGTCCCCAGTTGGCATCAAGAGAAAGGATAAGGATGTCAAGTTGAGGTGACTCTTCTATGATCGTATTTCATTGGTTATCGAGCCATCCTCTTCAACAAGGGGTGCCATCACGTGGGACCATAGAGAATGACTATGGAGTACAGAACATCCATGTGGCTGTGTCTGACAACAGAGCCCTCTTCTTACCTTTCTATTTTTAATTTATTGCTCTACATATTCCAGACTATCTACAAGGTCGTTATCTGATTCCAGTCTTGTTATGACTATGTTGTGTCGGTATTGCGAGAACATCGAGCTTGCCGATTCTTCAGGCCGACCATGTCACTATGTTCACCAGCCTTCCTGGTCACTTCTTGTCCATTCTGCCAAACATGGGTGTCAGCTTTGTAGTCTGTTGGAGCATGAAATTCGCTTAGAAATGAACAGCCACCCTGGGAATAGGGATCCTCCCTCTGGCCCATTGGTTATTTCGTCCAACGGTGGTACCTGGAATAGACCTGTTTCTATAGGTATTGCGAGTAACGTGGATGAGATATTGACTAAAGATTCCATCTCATCATCTTATTACGCTAAAAGTATTACCGTCGTTGAAGGTATGTATTTCTCTTAGTTCTTTAGTGGCACAAACTTATATATAATGATAGATACATCTAGAGGACAAACGGCTGGCCGGAAAGTGCCATGGGCTAATCGTCTCGTTCCTAGCAGTTCAAGCTCAGATCAATGCTTCCAATGGGCTCGTCAGCGATTGGAAAAGTGTAAGGCAGGCGAGCGCAATTGTCCAGCTACAAGTCCAGCACAGCGACTTCCAACCCGCATTTTAGATCTCGACCTTAGGGATGGGACTCAAGACCTATGTCTCCATGAGCCGCACTCAGAGTTCGGCGTGTATGCAACGCTGAGCCATTGTTGGGGGTCCGGTGATAAGCCCTTCATGACCGAGCTGGCGACACTTAAGAAACGACGAAAGCGGATCTCTTTTCTCGACCTCCCTCTCAGCTTCCAGGATGCGGTGAAAATATGTAGGAAGCTAGAGATAAGGTACCTCTGGATCGACACGCTCTGCATTATCCAGGACTCCTTCAAGGACTGGGCTTCAGAATCGGCTCAGATGGCTCGGATATACAAGGATGGCGTTTTGATGATTGCTTTCTCGGACTATCAGGACTGTCACCAACCCGTACTTACTCAGAGACCCGAACTGCTTACTTGCGAACTAGGCAAGAATCTGAATGGTGTTTATATGCAGTCCTCCTTCGCTCGTGCTGTTGGAGATAGTAATCGATATGTTCCATCATTGCTCAACGAATGGCCTTCCTACATTCTAGGACTCTCAAGCCAACTGGGCCGGCGGGCGTGGGCCTTCCAAGAACGTATCTTAGCACCCCGAATCTTGCATTACACCTCTCAACAACTCATTTGGGAATGTGCAAGTCAAACTTTGTCTGAGAATGGTATTGAATCTCACACGCGGGACCATACAATTCCCAGCATTCAAGAGACTCGCTCGAAGAATGAGTTCTATAGATATTGGCGTGAAATACTGCAGAGATATACCGAGTGTAGTCTCACCTTTTCATCCGACAAGTTTCCAGCATTGTCGGGGGTAGTAAGTGAGGTCCAGAAGCGTATTGATGATGTTTATGTTGCCGGATTATGGAAAGGAGATCTCCCTCTGGGTTTGATGTGGGTCCCCGCCAGAGGCACATTACCGGTAGCTGAGTACCGAGCGCCATCCTGGAGTTGGGCCTCCTTCGAAGGGAAGATTGAACATAAGCACTGGATACAAGCAGAGGACCAAATCGCGCACGCTCATGACACGCTTTTCCTAGGATACCACACCAATACGACAACCTCGGATCCTTTTGGGAAAATAGATAGCGCATCATTGCTTGTCCAAGCACACTGCGTCGATATTGAATGCATACACTTGACGTCTGATTCCGGCGTTGCCAGCACGCAGTTCATTCTGCACAGTGATTCGGGTGATCAGGCTCTCACTGACGCATTGCTAGATTTCCGATTCGATGACCCTTCCAGGAAAGCTGTAGAGGGCAGATATACGCTTCTGCAGCTTGCCAGGTGGAAACCACGATACTTCGGTCAAGTATCACGGCTATTTATTCAAGGCATGGTAGTGGAGCTCGTGGATGTGCCTGAGCCAGCAACTGGTCATCCGTCCGGGAGCAAAAGGAGGTCATGGGGAATCGGCTCGTACAAAAGACTCTCGGCCACTGTAGTTGAGAAACTCGGACGATCGCATACATCTCCCCCTGAGAAGAATAAGGGGTACAAGCGTGTCGGACTCGCGCGGATCTCTGAGCAGCTGGATGAGGAGACGGAGTGGGACGTAAGAACGCTGACTTTGGTCTAACTCCTATCTCCAGATTGGACAATTGTGATTTGTATTCTGAGCGCTATGAGGTGTTTCTTGGAAGTCTGGCGGTTTTCGAAACGTGTAAGCGGTTTGAATTTCAGACTTGTGGCTTTCTGTTTTCTGTTATATATCTTTGTTTTTTAATATGTGCCCTGGAATCTATATAATGAAAGCTAGGTAGGGCGTTCATGGGGTTAAGGCTGGTAGTAATAATAATCCAAGATATGATCGATGGTCTGCCAGCGTTATGATGCTGGAAGTTAGCCTTTCATCCACGAGCCGCGCCCCTGACCCCTGAATCACGAACAGCCGCGTCAATACCAACATCAGGAAAAGAGTGAGACGCGAGAACTAGCTACTAAGCAGTTTGAATTTGATCTCAAGGAAGATATTTGGGGGTGAAGCAATCCATGTAGCCTGGAGTCTATGCCGCCCCACGCCGACGAATCGACTTCGACTTGGCGAAAACTCTAAGGAGCGTTGAGGGAATGTTCTGATAGTTGGAATATCCCAAAGCCATTGGGATTATCCTGAGAGCTTCTGAGTGAGCGGGAATAGCGGTCGGGCTTTGGGAATATTTGCACTATCAATGATTGTTGCTGGACAAGTTCTGATATGTCGTGAGGTAAGTGTACTCGCTCTACCTGTATGCAGATTCTGGGTGCAATACACTTTAATTCAAAGAGATGAATGGATTATTTGAAGCAATCTGGATTCTACGAGAGGCAAGGAATATTCGGAACTTGTAGGAATACTGTACAAAATGGGATCTAGCAACGGGGCAACTTGACAAAGGAAAGTGCGGAACCAAGGATGATGAGATTTCAAGGACATACCTATGAGGTACAGCCGAAGTTTACAGCCAGATAAACATGTGCCTTGCACCAAATAATATCACTTGTGAAGCCCTAAACTCCTACATACCGTACAAAAGGGATATCTCTATTCCTATGACCCGCTATCCTGAGTCTTTTCCTTGTCACCATCTGGAAGCCTCCGGTCCAGAATCTGATCCACGATACCCATCTCCAAGGCCTCCTGGGCAGTCAAGAACTTATCCCTCTCCATCAGCCTCTCGATCTCCTCCAACGTATGCTCCTTCGTCAAATGCTTCTTATAGATCTGATTCAGCTGTTTCCGCACCCTCAGGATCTCGGTCGCGTGGATCGCGATATCAGACGCTTGCCCAAAATACCCTCCGCTCGGTTGATGGATCATGATCGAGCTGTGCGGGAGACAGAATCGCTTTCCCTTCTCACCACCGCAGAGAAGCAGCGAGCCCATGGACGCAGCCTGACCTACGCAGACAGTGGATACGGGTGAGGTGATATAGGTCATGGTGTCGTAGATGGCAAGGCCAGCGGTCACGGAGCCTCCGGGGGAGTTAATGTAGAGGGTGATGGACTTGTCAGGGGCGTCGGATTCGAGGAAGAGGAGCTGGGCGACGACGGCCGCGGAAAGAGTCTCGTTGACTTCGCCATTCAAGCAGATAATACGTTCCTGTGACGTGACTGTTAGTTGGATCCTAGGAAGTGTGGATGGCGGGATATACTTGAAGGAGCTTGGAGAAGATATCGGCTTGGTTCGCTGTTTAGTCCTGTGTAATTGAGCAGTCCGGGAATGACATACATGTGCGCCAGCCACCTCCCTGAATAGTCAGCATACGAGTACCATCTGCGCAGTTGTAGAATACTTACTATTGTCTCTGTGATATATGGAATTGGGGTCCAGCTCTTGGGTTCCGACGACCTTGATCTCGGCGCCTGTGCAGAGAAGGCTCTGGTTGCTGTGCGAATAGCACTACGAGCAGGCGCTCGTAATACCCTTGTCGTGAACATGTTCAATCACCAAAAGACAGTGATGCTTGTTGTCCGGTCATGCTATCCCGTTGACGTGAGGTTGAAAATCGGCGGACGCGATGGAGCGCGACTCGCTTGACCTTCCTCCTCTCTAAATTTATTTTTCCAACGACAACTCGTACCCCGAACACCTTTCGCACGAATGATAAAGGAATGTGGTATGATCAGATGCGTGGTCCCAAGAGGTAGCAGCACTGCAAAGCTGCTGAGAGCAGCCAATCGAAGATATACATCCCCCGCAATACCAACCACCCTTGACGAGCTTGAGAGAGAATATGGGGTCTCGAAACCCGACCCCATTCCCTCGCCGGATACCGGTCGCCCCGTGAAGAAGCAGACGCCTCCTAAGAATTCTATTGATGGATACTCGAAGAAAGTAGAGGGAAAAGAGTTACAAGATGGAGAGCAAGGGGTGGAACAAGCTACAAGTCGGCATGGCGGCTCCAATGGCAAACCTGCAAAGCGTCGAGAACTCCCTATATCGCCGTACATGGATCCGCATTACATCTCCACCAAGGAGAAATACTATGGACCGAAATCGCCCCCTGCAAAGAATCCCACCGAATTCCAAAAGGCCCTTTCTAAAAACCCATATGCTCTCGCGCTTGCGACACCTGTTCGTACATGCCATGCTACCGGGACCCTCTTACCCCGATACTTCCTGCAAGACTTTGGTGTTATGGGACACCCCGAGACAAAGGAACCGTATTGGGTGCCTAGGAGTCTTACGAGCAAATACTACAGTGGTCCCATGGCGGAGAGCGAGAGCGCGGATTCTACCACCCCGGGGTCTGCCCTTGGGGACGGGGAGAGCAAGAGTGATGAATCTGGTGCCGAGGAACAATTGCATATGGAATCCACTGACTCTTCTCGCTTTGCTGTGAAAGAAGCGTCCTCATCTTCACCTTCGCTCGGTCCCCGTGCCTACACCCTAGCCCGCAAAGCTCTAGTTGAGGGTTTCTCCAAAGGTGGCTTTCTAGAAAAGGGTCGATACTTAGCGACAGCGGCTGGCACTCGACCACGTGACCGACCAGTGCTTCGGAGGATCGTGGAAGGTGCAAGAGTGAGGCCCGACATGGCTGGTTTCATGCTGGAGTTGATGAGGAGAAGGGTGGTGGAGGAATTTGAATATCTGGTACCGCTGAAGGTTTACATACGAGCTTGTAAAAGCTGGGACGATGCGACCAAGTCTTCGAGACAACCCGGCGCTCTTTTATGGACGGGCCCGATAAGGAGTGGAGAATTGGAGGAAGAGCCCGCTGATGACAAGGAAGCCCAAATCCGTGGGCCGCCCGAATTTGCGACACTAAAGATAGGGACAGTGAAATCGCGAAAAGTTCCAGTCCATAATCTGGAGACGTTGCTGGGGAAAGACCATCTTCAGAGATTAAAGGAGAAATGTCCTCTCTTTGACGCGGAGATATTGATGATTAGGCATAAGAACGTGACGGTTGATATTCAACTCAAGTTGTGGAGGTTGCAGGGTTATTTGGCAAAGTATGAGCAGTTCTTGGATTAGATACGAATCTTTGCTTTGCCAGTGGACCGAGGTGAAGCATTTGTAAGAATAGATCTTGGCGGAAACGAGAAGGCGTTAGTCAGGGCAGAGGAGAAAAAGAGAGAAGACATGAGCGGAGAGGTGAAGAATCACACAGAGAAAATGGTGGAATCACATTACGGCTAGAGAGGGAGGCATTTCCGGGCGTTTCAGCTGCCGGACTGATTTATAGGAACAGATATATCATGTACGAATATTACTAGCAGTTTGGACTTTGAGTTACGGGATATCATCATTATTTCCTTAAATATAAACGCCATTCAGACAATATACTGACTTACAATTTCGACCCACCCCCAACCCTACCTTCCTCCCCACACCTGGCAAGAATAAAATCGGCAACATCCTTCGAAAACACATCCCTATTGTCCGGCAAATCTGCATGCAACTGATGATACCAACCTTCGTATGTCTTGAACTCTTTATCCTGCACCTGAGTCTGGTCGTCAAACCACTTTTTACTCGCTTCATAAGACACTCCCTTATCGGCCGTGCCATGTCCCAACCAAATCGCCCTAACCCCTTTATTCAACTTCGTCTCCCCGGCCTGCAAAGCGGCCGCTCGATCCAGCAACCCCGCCAAACCCTCCAAAGTTCCCGTGCCATGCAACAGCTTATCCTCGTTCATGCTCTGGATGACAGCCGGGTCACGCGTCAAGTTCTCCGGGGGGAGAGGATTATAGAGTTTCACATGCGGGAGCAACTTCCCCGCCAAGCGTCCAAAAAAGACCTTGAGGAATGAAGGCTCGTAACCCTTGGGGAACGCTATGAATGGGCTCTCTAGGATCCAGCCGCGGATCTGCGGCATGAGGTCCTCGTACTGAGGATCGGAAGCTAGGGTCAGGACCTCGCCGCCGCCCATGCTGTGGCCAGCGACGAAGACGGGAACGGAGGAGGGAAGCTGCGTGCGGATGAACGATGCGATGTCCGAAACCACGAGGGATGTTGGGCCTGTCAAGCCCCAGTCAGACTGATTGGTGGAGCTACGTCCCCAGCCGCGTTGATCGAAGCCGTAGGTTGCGATGCCGCGGCTGGCGAGATATGGAAAGAGACCATAATAGCGGTTGATGTGGTCATTGAAGCCGTGGATCCAGATCAGTTTTGCTTTTGGGGGATCATCGGGCTGGAATGGGGGTTGTTAGTTGGGGTTCTAGGGGAGGGGAAGGAGGGGAAGCTGAGGAAAGCTGAGTGGAGGCTCACGAGCCATGTTTTGGTGTACAAAGACACGTCCCCGATCTTGTGAGTTCCTTCGACTTCTGTAGGCATCTTGAGCAGGAAATATCAAGACAGCAATTGAGGGTTGGAGTTGAATCAGAACTCGGAGATGGTTGGAGAGAAGAAGAGCGGTGGATGGTCATGACGATATACACTGTAGCTTCATGTGAAGATGTGGAGAACTCGGGATAAACCCCTGTCGAGACGCGGCCGCTTCGTCCGCCCCCGACCCGGCATGTGAAATATTTCCAGAAAAGCTTCAACTTCTCTCGAGCCCACAAGCATCTTCTCCCTATCAATGATCAACCTCCAAAGGATCTCCTCACGCGCGAGGCTGGAGTTGAGCAATGGTAGTGTGCCATTCTGCTCGGGATGTTTCCGTCGTCTGTATTCCAAGTCGATTGTCAGAGGCAGGAACCCGGTGCTCCACTTGCTTGAACCTTGCTAATGGTATTGGCGGCAGAGAACGACGTCGTCCTTGTGAAAAAGAAAAGTGATAGTAGAGCCGGTCCAATTCTATCCAAGCCTCTTGTCCCCGGTGGAAAGATTGCGGATTTGGAACCAAGATCAAGAGATAGTATCGATGCGAATGATATAATTGGAAAAGGGATACGAGACTTGGTTAAATCAAAAAAGGGCACGGATTATAGGATATATGAGCCTACGCTTGCTGAATATACGAATTTATCCTCTCGTTTGGTCACTCCAGTGAGAATATTGTCCCTTTTGCCAATTCTACGACACTAACTGCAGGATGCGTACGGAGTAGATTTACCCCCAAGACGCAAACCTTATCGTTTCGCTCCTCGATCTCCATCCTACCACGCCAGGTTCAAAGAATGATATAAAAGGCGAAAGATTCGAGATCTTCGAAGCTGGGACAGGTCATGGCGCATTGACACTGCATCTTTCGAGGGCCATACACGGAGCAAATACGCCAGCACCCGAGTTACCACCAGCACCAAGTCCTACGGACAGATCAAAAAAGGTTTCCTATTCATTATGGGAATCCCTTGCAGGTTTGGTTGTCAAGAACAAGGTTGATGACCCATACGAAACCTGGCGTGCAAACCGGCGAGCTGTCATTCATACCCTCGATATTTCACCTGAGCATTCAGCGCACGCCCAAAATGTTGTCAGGAACTTCCGTCACGGAATGTACTTCCCGCATATCGACTTTCATGTCGGTAAACTAGAGGATTATCTCTCCTCCCGCCTGGAATCTAATGGCGACGAGCCGTTTCTAGCCCACGCAATCCTCGACCTCCCTGACACACATCACTACCTCGAGATAGTTGGGAAAGCCCTTAATCCAAATGGATGCCTAATTACATGGAATCCTAGCATTACTCAGACCATTAGATGCGTGGAGGTTGTGAGAGAAAAGAGGTTGCCATTTTTGTTGGAAAAGGTGCTGGAGGTGGGCACAAGCGTTGGAGTAGGGGGGAAGGAATGGGATGTGAGAAGTGTAAAACCAAGAGCGAGAGTCAAGGCAGAGGCTTTGGCGAAGCAGAAGGCTGCTGATTCACAAGGAAAGGAGAGTCAGGAGATCGCGGAGGGAGGCTTAGGCGCATATCCGGAAGCTGAGCAGCATGACATGGATAGCACTGGGGCTGTGAACACAGCAGAATCGAAGGCAGAGTTAACAGCGGCAAGTGACGATTCAGGATGGGAAATGGTATGCAGGCCAAAGGTTGGTCTGAGGATTGAAGGGGGAGGCTTCATTGGCCTGTGGCGGAGGATGGAACAGTATTGATATGGGAAGATATGTAAGTTATGTAAGATACGATATGGGGCCATTAAATAGTTATTGCAGAGAATCTATTTATGCCATACTATACCACTTTTCCATGATGGAGACCCCCCTGAAATACCTACCTACCTAGGTAGCTAGGAAACTCTTTTAAGCCTTATATATCAGGCTACACTTGTCTTGCAATCACGAGACAAGGGCGGCTCAGCTCAAATGACGCTAACTTGAAATAGGAAATACTGTACCCCGGATTCCTTTCCACACGGAATAAATTATCGACATGAGCCTGTCGATCTGCTTGCATTGCATTGTTTTACTCTCTTCCATTTTAGATAGCTGCACATAGCTGCACATATGGCTCTGGGGTAGAACTCTAATATTCGCATGGATGGGAATTTCTCATCCTTACACGCACCTAAGCTCCATCCTCGCTGTTCCTGCCACCTCAACAGCTCCGAGCTGTAGATCTTCAACATGACGAGGAGAATTGTCAGTCCTCTCTACATTCCCGCGCTGCAGTTGAACTAATCGCGTTATAGACCCGGACAATAAGCCAGCTCGCCATCGCAGGCGTCTGCGCTCTGTTCTTTGTCTGGTTCCTCGACTCTCGATACCGCGCCCTCCCACACTCCATACACAATATGATGCCAGCACATCACCCCGGCTTTGTTATCACAGATATCACGGTCACGACCTGCTCTACCGTCAATCTGCTTAGTAGCTGCAGGCTCGATTCCAAAGGCTGGCATCGCATTGAGAAGGATTTGTATCTAGGCAAAGGATGGGTTTCGAGCGCGTACGTGCATGTAAAACGGAAGGTGGAAGAAGATTTACTGCCGGAGGACAAGGTCGTGGTGGACGTTAGTGTTGGAAAACTACATCCTTCTATGGGTGCAAAAGGGGAAGGCGACGAGAAATGGGAAGCTAGGCCAGCCGGAATTTGGATAAAGAGATCGGGGAAGATAGGCGAGAGCGATTCAGACAGGGCAGTCACTTCGGCGGATATTTTGTTCGGCGCGGACGCAGTTGATCCAAGAGAAGGATGGGAGATGATTGGTACATCTCTGCTACTGGACACGTCCGGCGAGGTTCATGAACCCCGGCTCAGCATACGGAGGGGGAAACCAGCGGCGCCTGCAAAGCCAACCCCTCGAATAAACGACAATGGCAAATTCAAGATTATGCAAGCGGCGGATTTACATCTGAGCACAGGGACCGGAAAGTGTAGAGATGCGATGCCGGTTGGGTACAATAATGGGAAATGCGAGGCTGATCCAAGGACATTGGAATTCGTTGAGAGATTGTTGGATGAAGAGAAGCCTGATCTTGTCATATTGAGTGGTGACCAAGTCAATGGAGAGACAGCGCCTGATACGCAGAGTGTAAGGATTTTTCACCTACCACTCATCTACCACAAGTCCCCTTCTGACCTCCCAATAGGCGATATTCAAATATGCAGATCTGTTTATCAAACGCAAAATCCCCTTTGCGACTATATTCGGCAACCATGACGATGAAGGCGACTCTTTATCCCGCGAAGAACAAATGGAATTGATCGAATCGCTCCCATACTCTCTATCCGAAGCCGGGCCAGAAGAAATTGATGGAGTGGGGAACTACTATATCGAAGTCCTGGCACGAGGAAGTTCAGGGCATTCCGCTTTGACAATCTACATGCTTGATACACACGCCTACTCTCCTGATGAGCGCGCCTTCAAAGGCTACGACTGGCTAAAACAGAGTCAAATAGATTGGTTCAAGCAAACTGCACAAGGGCTGAAGAAGGCACATGAAGGATACACACACATACACATGGACTTGTCTTTTATCCATATTCCGTTACCCGAATATGCTGACAACAGCAATCCTCGGAAAGGAGAGTTGAGAGAGGGAGTCACAGCGCCAGGATTCAATTCCGGATTCCGGGACGCCTTGGTTGAGGAGGGTGTTGTGATGGTGAGCTGTGGGCAGTACGTATCCCCTTTCTCATCTCTGAGATCTAGACTAACAGAGTGTAGTGACCACGCGAATGAGTACTGCGCACTCTCCCGCCACGAGAATGAACTCCCTGCGTTATGGATGTGCTATGCTGGCGGAGCAGGTTTTGGCGGTTATGGCGGGTATGGAGGTTATCATCGCCGCATCCGCTTCTTCGACATCGATATGAACGAGGCGCGCATCTTCACCTATAAGAGGGTGGAATATGGCGAGATAGAAAAGAGGATTGATGAACAGATGATTGTGGAGGGTGGGAAGCCAGCGGCTCTTGTTTATGAGCAGTGATTAGAATTGGAGTTGAAGAGGCGTTCGGAACAGCAGGGCGGTGCAAATGGATGCAGGGGGATTTATGATTATGGAATATGGGCCACAAAACAAGAGTCAGCAAGCGTCTAGCAAGCAATCAAACGATACCACCTTTTTTATACCTCACCTACTAGTCCCCGGCTACCCCAGGTCCCCAAGTTTCGGCAATCCCACCGATTCGTGTAATATGCGTATATTCGGTAAAATAGGGGGGGTGGATTCCCCGAGCTCTTTAACCAAAGTTCAATCCTTCCTCATAGAACAAGCCATCAACAATCACATTTCAGGACCAGAACAAACCTTGAAGCACACTCTCCTCCATAGTCCATATCAGCATCCCCGGCATCTCCCAGAGCATGAACTAATCCTCTTTCGGTTAACCCCAACGATGCGACATCATTAACTTAACGAACTGACAGTACTTCCAACTCAACGTCTCGATCCTGATTTCGATTTCGAATCCCTCATATATCCCTCCCTTCCTTCACGTCCTCACGATCCCTTATTCATTTTCCCGCTCAACATTGAATCACCCAGGTGGCGAACGATGGCAACTTCCCAAGCCTCACTCTCCCATCTCGAGAGGACGGCGCATGAACCACGTGATAAGGTCCGTGAGATCCCCGAGTTTCCCTGGTTAGGTAGATAAGGTATTGAGAGGGAAGCTGATTTAATGGATTGATTGAGTTAGACATTACATCGAGTGAGGATTAGTGGGATAGAGCAGGTAGATGGGAAAATTAGGGTGGTGAGATTGAGGCCTGTGGAGGGGGAGGGGGAGATTAAGGTTTGTTTGGATTTCTCTCCTCGTCGTCTTTTTTGGGGGGGATGGGAGGGAAGTAGGAAGTTCCTATGAATTGCCCCGAGAGTTCAATTTCATATCTATCTCTGAGCTTTTTTTCCTTTGGAAAGGGGTTTGAAGAACGGAGGATTTTGTGATTTTTGGTTTCTGATTTTTGAGCGAACACCATGCATACATGGTCTTTTGATTCTCTCTGCTTAAACCCAACGTACAGTTCCTCCCGGGCCAATGGCTCGACGTTCACATCCCCAATATCCCCAAAGCCGGCGGATTCACCATCACGTCCCCGCCGTCCCTGCTCAGCTCTCCCACGCCCTATCTCGAACTCGCCATCTCTTACTCTCCATCCAACCCCGCATCATCATTCTTCCATGTTCCACCTTCATCGATCCTGGATACCGAGCTGCGGGTTCGCATCGGCGGGTCTTTCGTCTGGCCGCCGACATGTCATGCTCCGGGGGGTGTCATCAAGAGAGTCGTGTTTGTCGCGGGCGGCATCGGCGTGAATCCTCTCATGGCGATGCTTTCACACCTCAGCGAGATGCAGGAAAAGGATCGACGATTCGATGTCAAGATGTTGTATTCGGTGAGAGATCCTGGGCTTGGAAGGAATGGGAAAGGTATTTTGTTTTTGGACAGGTTGATGCGGATTTTTGAAACGTGGGGTAATTGCGATGGCTTAAAGTTGTATCTAACGCCGGGAAAGAATGGGGAGGAGGCTGGAGAGGCGGTGATGGGGGGTGAGGACGGAGAGATCTTGTATAGGAGGAGGAGGATTAGGAGGGCGGATTTGGAGAGCTGTTTAGGGGAGGTGCGGGATAGAGCGGGGACTGTGGTTTATGTGTGTGGAGTGCCGGAGATGACGGATGAGTTGGTGGGGTGGGCGAGGGAGGCAGAGGGGATGGATGGGAGACATGTTTTGTGTGAGAAGTGGTGGTGAGTGTGGTTTCTGGTTCTCGTGAGAAGAGGGGGGGTAAAATAAATATCCTCTATAGATAGCCCCTTCCCCTTCCCCTGAAGTAAGTAACACTAAAACAAGAAAAACCGCCCCCCTATTTCCTCATCCCATCCCAGTCATCTCCATCCCTCTCTCAGCTTCCGCTTCTTTCTTTCTTTCTTTCTTCTGCCCCGTATTCCCAAGAACCATATACCTACCACAAGAAAGATAAGATAAGATATTATTATTTGCTTTATTTATACGCCGTCCCGAGCCAGTGGCCATGCAGAACTTTCTATACCATATTACAAGATGAACCCAGCCAGCTTCCACTGTTTTTTTCTAAAACGAAACCCCTAAATATAATATAATTGATAAAATAATCAAGGAGTTCATTTCCCATCTTATTCTTGCTTCTTTAAGTTTTCATGATTCACAAGACAAGGTAGGTAGGTATGGGTATAATGAGTGAGCAAGTAAGCAAAGCAAGTAAGTATGTTTGATGGTTATGACTATGTTGATGTGATGTTGATGTTGATGTGATGTTGTATAGAATGGTGTGTCTGTGTTAAAAGCGAGGGGGAAGGGGGGGGGAGAGATATTAGTTTTACCTTTGAGCTTAAGATGCTATGCTATGTACAGTACGTATATCTTTTATCTTTATTGCGTTGAGGGAGATATACGAATTACAACATAGCAGGATATAAAATAGAAGGGGGTAGGTAGCTATTTCTGTAATGTAGAAGGGAATGTCTCTAAAGCATCGATGGGGATGATGAAGAAGACAAGAGGTGTGTATGATCAATCAATCAATTGATCAATCAATTGATCAATCAATTGATCAATCAATATTCATCCATTCCAATTCCCATTCCAATTCCCATTCCATTTCGGTTATTACAGCACGCACGCAAGCAAGCAAGCAAGCTATGCTCCGCTATGCTACCTATATATATATACTAGATCAACATCCCGCTTTTTCGAACCACCTGACCGAAACCAAAGATAGAGCGCAGATGATATATATAGATGCAGAATGCTAGGCCGGCAGCAGATATATAACGCCAGAGACTGAACGCCTTATGTTCCCTTCCTTCCTTCCTTCCTTCCTTCCTTCCTTCCTTTCTTTTCGAATTATGGACACTCGCGACATGGGTAGTTTCCTGTGACTATGCACAACGCGGATGGAGTAGCTGGGGGGGTATCGTGTTGTATCTTTGGTATGGTATTAACTGTACGCTGCGACGTAGTGGCAGTGTCACAGACTGAGGACTTTGCCTCTTCTCAGATGGCGGTGAGAGTTGGTGTGAAGTAACTCCTAGACCGAGGGCGAAAGCATCGAGGGAATTCCTGCTCCCTACAAACTCGCTTGTCACCGGAACGTTGCTTCATTCACCACCCCATTCATACCCCTGTCCTGACCCCCACTATTCGTCCTCTGCAGCTGCGCATGGTGGAACTGTTCCGGCACGCTTCTCGGTATCTGAATCCCTCCAGGACTCGACAGGCCATACGAGCCAACGCTATCCTGTCGTAACGGAGACCTCATCGCCCCATCAAACTCCCTTTTGAATTCAACCTGCCGACCCCCAACCCCATCGAAGCCATTCCCCATGCCTTGATTATTCAGGTCCGGGAACGGATTATACTCGCTTATGCCCGGGAATTCCATGCCCGGGGATATGATCGGGGGACTGGTAAAGGGGGCCTCCCCATTCTCTGGCCCATGGGTCGGAGAGCTGATCTCCTCGATCCTCTTATCGTAAGGCGGAATCACCGGATTCTCGATCTTGAACTCAGGTTGAGACATCTTGTAGTCAGACGGCGAGCTGTTGGGTATGTAGTTAGAGGCGACCCCCATGTTGATGGGTCCAAAACCATCGAAGATATCTACCTCGGCGCACATGGTGGCCGGGCTGTCGGGGACGGTCTGAAGCATCGGATTCGCGAGCGTGGGGAGCACATCATGGACCTTGGAGAGGAGGAGAGGGAGGAAACGGTTATCACCATTTCGTAGGACGGACAGGAGGGTCATGAATTGGTGTAGGTAGTCACGGGGTCCGAGAGTGAAGGGTTGAGGGCTGGCTGGGAGGAGTGACAGGACGTCGGTGAGCGAGCAGGCCACGTCGAATAGTTTCTCAATCTAGACAGGTTAGTGTGATGTGATTCCAGGGATCGAGGAACATACGAGACCAATGCCATGCACCTCCATACTCTGCTGTGAGAATTGGGAGGTCATGGACAGGAGATCTCTCGAGATATCGACCGGGTATTGGAATGTCATGCTCGGATCCTCGCATGTCGAACTCAGGTAGCCATTCTGCATACTCAATTGCCAGACCATCGTGCGGAGCCACTGCTGGCTCGTTCTCAGGTCTGCCGTTTGATTCTCTGTGGAATTGAGATATGTCGGGAGGGCATCGGTGAGTTGCTTTTGTAGAGCCGCCAGGTATGACGGGGAACAATCTGATCGGGTCTTGTTCCAGATGGCAACAAAGGCTTCGTCGAATGGTCGGAAGAGGTTGACCAGGTGCAAGAAGCCGTGGAGATGGTGGGCTTGGGTGTCGGATGGATCGTCGTGCTCGGTGGGTAGAGAGATGGTGGCTTGCAGGGACAGAGGGCGATGCCGTTGAAGGGCATATGATCTGTGATCGATGAGTGCGTGTTCATGCTGGAAGACGGCACAACTTACCTCTCGGTGACGAAGAGCAACCAGAAGAGCCTTCGCCTCCGCGACGACTCAATCGCGTCGTACTGTAGATATGTCTCCTCCTTCTGCATGCCCAGGATGTGGGCGAGTGTGGTGGCTTCTCGGAGATGGAACCAGGCCTTGTTGTGCAGATCGAGTCCAAAGTAGCATCCAAACAAGAAGTAGCTCGTGACGAGGCTATTCAGGGTCGGCGACTCGAGGTGATCATAGCTCTTCCGCACGCGCAACGTCTCCTCCATCAACAGGTTTCCTGACACGAGGTTTGCTCCCGGCAGACTGTCGAGGCCAAGAGGGTCACCCGGGATGCCCATGCCCGGTTGGATCATCATGAAGGCGCAGAGCGACGTGAGGAGGCAGTAGGTGTCGACATTCTGGTCGGCGTACAACGCCTGCTGCTCCAAGCGTCCGCGGTGTAGGATGGGCATCGTCGGGTACATGTTCGCGAAGAAGAACTCGATACATTCCTTGACCATCTCGTTGGTGAGGAGGCCGGGCGTGGGCGCGAGGTTTGGGCTGCATGGGGGACTGTTGATGCCGTTCAGACGGTTCGCGACTTTGGAGGAGAGGGTGGTTTGGCGTTGTGTTTCTCGCAGCTCGCTGATGACCTTGGCTCTCGAGCCCTTGGGGCCCTTCTTCTGGGGAATGGCATGGTAAGTACAGGCGAGTTGGGCGGAGGAGCAATTGCGACACGGATTCACGCCGTCGCATTTGACCTTTCGACGGTGGCAGGCGTCGCAGGCCCTCTTGACCGACGACGACATTGCGGAGAGGAGGAGGCCCTAGAACCTGCGACAGGCCTGGAGGGAAGGATTGAGGGAGGTCGATGAAGGAGGCGAGAAGAGAGGTAATTCGGTAGAGAGGTGGAGGTCGGTGGAGGAGGTTTTCGTAAGATTCGTGGTCGTAGTTGTGGTCGTGGTCGTGGTCGTGATTGTAGTTGTGGTTGTGGTAGTGTGATTGTGTGGGCGTGGTCGTCGGGGGGGTTCGTCAGGTTCGTGGGATCGTAAGTGGAGGGGGAACCGGGGGGGAGGTTCTACGGAGTGCTGCGTGGCGTCGCGGAGTTCTGGGGAAACTGGAGAAGAGTCGAGTTGATTCGGACCGTCAGGCGTGGCAGTCAAGGGATGATAAAACGTGGGAAGCGTGAGAAGCAGCGTTTGGGAATGGCGGAGACGGGACGGTGCATTTCCTCTCACGGAGGGCCTCGTCCATGGAATGCGGGGGGTGGAGAGGGAGGGAGAGGGGGGTTGAGGGTTGAGGGAGAGCGTTGACCAGGTCTCCTTCAAGGGATGTCTGTTGGAAGAGGGAAAGTCACAGAGGGAGAGGAGGGAGAGAAGGGAGAGAGAGTAAGAGTAAAGAGGGAGAGAGTGACAGTCAGAGGGAGAGAAGAGTGAAAGTGGGAGACGGAGTCAAGGGGAGAGAAAGCCAAGAAGAGGTCAAAAGGGAGAGAAAAGGACCATCAGAAGAGGGATATCCGGGGTCAACCTCATTGGGGCGTCGACAGTATCCGAGGTCCAATGGATTATGGACTGGACCGTAGGGGGAAAAGACAACTTCACAAAGAGACAAGATGGAACTAAAAAATTAAGATAAAATCAGATAACTTAAAACCGCATATTTCAGGCATGACCATCGTACAAGGAGTTCATCTAGAAGTACAAGTAAATAGCCTCCTGATCTCCGCCCTTCCAATAACACGCTGCTATAGTATAAGGCGCAAGAGATCAAATGTCATAATATAAAATACGAATATAAATACCAACTACCAACATAAATCACCCCCCAAACCACCCGCCGTAACGTAACACCTGCGGCCCAGGATCTGCCCAAGATCACGCAGCGATTGTCTCTATTTGATCCCTCTCCGCGTTCATGCGTGATGCTTCCCCTCAGACTCTCAGAGGCCTCTTCGCGCCAACCTTGACCCGTTGCTTTGAACCGTTGCTCGGACCATTGCCTGACCCGTCGAACCATTCCTTGGAGTTGAGGGGACCCGGTAGAGAATTACCAGTGCAATACGTGGAGTCTTTGCCGCGGGACCATTATATCCCTCCCTCCCTTGAGCGCCTGGCTGGCCATCCCCCTCCCCCTCCAACCCCCCCCATTCCCGTCCCTTGAACCTCGATCCTTCTCACCGATATCCCCGGCATCTGTTGTCCTCTCTTGGCTTCAGTCGTGCTGACAAAGGCTCAGCACAGCAACAGCTTACAATGTTGTACTTCGGACTTCCTACTAGATCCTACAGCCATAGCTACAGTCCAACCGCAATACAATACTCTGCGCTCTGTACAACAAACCTACAACAACACCCGTCCCGGAAACACGCGTCTTGGGAAGTTGTGAACATCAGTTAGGCTCATAAGAAGAGCCTGAAGAGGTCGACTACTACTGTTCCCGGCCTAGCCACCGCCTCTGGCCCCAGCGGCACAATGCCCGGCTCTGCATTGGTGAAGGTCGCGGCCTGTTTCTTCTGCATCCTGTGCCGTGTTTAATCTCACCACTGGGCCAGCTCCATGTTCTCCGTGTGATTGGTCTGGTCTCCGCCGGTACAAGTCGGTAGTCAGCTTAGGGGGGGGGATCTTAGGAGAGTTAGCAGAGTTGGGACTTTAGGAGACCCCGCGCGAAATCTTCTCCAGCTCCGCCTTTTCTGACATTACCTAAGGATCCGACGATTCGCGCCTTCGATCGGAATTCCACGCTGCTTCGATAATGACAGCTGACGATCGTGTCTGACTTGAGCGACGGACGGTCACGCCGTGATTGGGTCGCCTGGAGGATGAGCTTTTGGCTCTAGCTTTTGGCTCTGGCTCTGGCTCTGGCTCTGGCTTAGGCTCTCCCTGCCTCTGATCCTGCTGGTCACTGGCCACGATACGCGACTGGAGTCTCGAGTCGAGCATCTGCCGTACGGGGCACGGCCGCCGGCGTGAAAGGGGAGTCGGGACAAGGCCCCTCTAGGCTCTCACAGTTCTCACTGTATCTTACCGACATCACGACCTCTCTTAGCCAGCCTCTCCGCAGAGCCTTGGCCGGAGAGACTGACAAATCCGCACAGCATCTGATTTCCACCAATCCCGTCCCTTTCCCCTCATCCTACCGAGGAACCGGAGCACGCGCGGTCGAGGATCCAGATCCAGGGAAATCAGGGAATCAGGGTCCAATGGTTCTTGACTTGCTTACTCACCCATGCGGACGTATATTTCCGCATCCACCACTGTGTCCCGAGAATTACCGAAGAATCCTAGATCGCACCGCAACTACTCGAGGCAGAGCCCTGAAAATCTTTTTTTCATTTTGAACTATTCAACCCCGACGAAACTGCCTCGTCAAGGATTGTTCTATCAGCCGCGAGGAGATATCATGTGATCTAGCGGTGAACCCAGAACAAATCCCTTCCCGACAAGCGTCAGGATGGGAAAGGCAGAAAAGGCCCGAAATGCACCTGAAGACATGGTTTTCCTGCGGAGATGCTGCTGGAAGTGCGGAGGTGGCTGCCCGTGGCTTGTTGGTTTCTGGGGAGAGCAAAAGCTGGAGAAAGTGAGGGGAAGACACGTGCCTTGGTCTTGGGTCATTTTGTCTGTGATCAGAAAGGTAGAGGAGTGATGTTTATGTCTTTCATTTTTTTCTTTCATTCTGGATTTATTTGTTGGGTTTTCCCGAATGACTTGATTGTCTGAGCTTCCACTTTATCCAGCCTTTACTTCCTTTACCCCTTTGCCCCGTCGCGCGAGAGTTCACCCAGTATCAATTGAGTCCGCTTCCTCAATATATCCCCTCTCCCTCAATTCCAACCATCCATCTACCTCTCACTTCCCCCTATAAACGCCTTGAATCGGAATAAATACTGAAACGGCCTCTCAGACCTCCCTCCTGCAAGCCCCACAATACCCCCGAGAACCATGCCTTCCCTTCCCTGCTCAGCCTCATCACATCTCGCTCTCGTCTCCTCTCCTCTCCTCTCAAGCTGTAACGGTCTACCCCAGATTACGGATTCTCCCGTATTCAGGGGCTCCCCGCAGTCTCGATGCCTCTTTTCGCATAATATCCGTAGGGGGAAAATCTCGCAACTGGTGCCCATTCATTACCTTTTTTTAAAACTAAGGTCCGAAGCAGCTCTCCATCTCACAAAATCCCCGCCTTTTCATTCATTCCATACCATATTATCCATCTCGTTTCAAAAAATACGTTTGGCTTGCTGTCAGGTACCTACTACGTTAGGAAACTAGGCAGCGAGCAGCAGGATTTAGCACCTGCACCCTCTGCACGAGGAATATGATCTCTTTTGATTGATTGATTGATTGATATTTGCTTTCTTGCTTGCTTGCTTGCTAGTTTGAACTAAGGTACTTGGATGGAAGTGAGACTGAGAGGGCGCGAGAAGACATGCTTCTTTCACTGCCAGAAAAACGGTCACTTCATCGGTGACTGTCGGATCGACAGGGAAGAGCAGAGCATAGAACATATAAAACAGAATATATAGAAGGAAGGGTGACATCGGGGATTTTAATACAAATTAGCCGAAGTGCTCAAGAGAATAAGGTGTAGATGAACAGGGAGTTTGTCGTTATTAATTTTTTTTTTTTTTTTTTTTTTTTTTTTTTTTTTTTTTCTTTTTCTTTCTATCGTCGTCTTGGATCTGGTTCATTGTGAATTAACTACTTACTTTTGTTGGGAAATTGAATATCCAGGTGTATGAGCAGTGCGTTGACGTACGACGGTCGATGCGAGGGCTGAAGGCTTGAAGTCAGGTTTTGGGAGACCACCTCATATGAGATCCGATCGAATTTCTGACTCTCAAGTCTGTCAGCGTAGTATCTATACAGTTCCTTGTCCCTCCAACAAGCCAAATAGTCAGTCAGTAAGCACAGTACATATCACCTACTTGAATCTTGATATTGTTTAGTTTTGCCAAATGCCCTTCCTAGCTAGTCTGTCCGACCACCACCAATTTGGTATATCTTGGAAGATATCGACAAAACAGAAACAACCTCATAGTTAATCTAGGAAGCCCGTCTAGAGAATATCTGATTTCTAAAAATCAAGAGCTTGAGCTTCGACTTGGAATTAGATAGAAGCCGAGGATGGAAGATAGATAGATAGATGGCTTCATGCTGAATTCATTCATTGAACTCTCTCTCGTGGATATATTGATGGATACCTTGTAAGCAAGTAACAGGCTCTCTAATAAGTAACTAAATGCTCGAGGATGGTTGGAAGGAGAGTAGTAAGATTTGCAGAGGAGAAATGTACGAGCAATATCTGGGTGCATTTTGTAGGTGAGGCTTCGGGGAGAGGGGAAGGGGTGAATATGAGGGAAATTATCATTGTTATTCAAGTCTTGTCATTGTTATTAAGATTAAGGTCATTGTGAATATCTACTTGTGGCCTGGTTCTGGTTTGACACGTTCGAATAGGTTATCTTATCTTTGAGCGGGTTTTGTAAGTGTGGCCAGCCTAAAGTTTTGATATTGAGCACGTCTGCTTGTTGGGATTCAATAAGTTCGCTAACAGAGGACCTAGGTCTAGTAACTTTTCCATGAAACGTCTTACATGATTTAATTTGTTTTGCGTTTCTCGTTGCTCGTTGCTCGTTGCAAAAAAAGTAGTCTGGAAGGTGGAGAGCGGGTGCGTTTTGAGTTACTAGGCGGGTGAATAGGAGGTGAATAGGATTCCGAACCCGCTCTCGACCTCTACACCCACATTCTCTATCGACTCTTCCGCCCCAGATCCTAAGGTTTCCCCAGATTCATCTTCCTCCTATCAGTCAGTTCCCACAAAGGCTTCCCAATCCCCTGGCGGCTCCCGCGCCGCTCTTTCTCTCATCGCTTCCGCTATAGGATTATCGATTTCTATCGTTGTAATTCAACTTTGTCGTTGTGAATACATTCTCATTATTGTGAACCATCTCATCTCATCCTGTCCCTTCATCGTGGATCTCGTCCTTCTCGGCCTGCCGTCGGGCTGTCCTACTCCAGATAGTAAAGATTATCTCATGGCGGTGTGGATATATTTTGACTGTCGTGACTTGTGTTACATGAGATATCTCGGTGGCGACTAGTTCATCCTGGCAGTTCATCTTGCTTATCTATTCTAGGAAGAAGAGAGGAGGGAGGCGGTGTGGGAAGTGGTGAATCTGTGATATATATTGATTTAAAGGGCGGAGGGAAGGGAAGGGAAGGAACGAATTTTTCTTTCTTTTTTAGGTGAGATTGATATTCACATTCCCATAATAAAGCGAACAAAGGATGGAAAGAGAGAAGGTAGAAAGTCTGTACCTCTGGATAACTAATATTAGGTGAGCGTTTATCAACCGAACGACTACCTCTATGTTGTTATAAGACTGGACCTCGCAGGGAATGACAGTAGAGATCATTACAGAAGGCGGATAAATTTGAATCAGGGGGGAACTTCAGATGGGTATGGGGAAAAGATAAGTTGTATAATCTTGAAGAGAAAGGAATTCTATATTTTACTTTTGAAGAATAAAGAGAAGAAGGGCTTGTAGAATACACCTAGATATCCTAAACACAGACCCAGGAAAGAGAAGACCATACACTCGTAACACTCATGTCTCCATTTTTAGTCCACCAACCTCTTATCAATCTCTCTCAATGTCATTTACATTGCCCCATGAGTCATCTCTCTCCTCGAATCCTTCGCCGCTAACTCGACACTTGATCGCACACTCCCGATCTCCATAGCGCCCATGCCATTCCTCCACCTCTTCCAGTGCGCCACTCTAATAAACCAAGGAGGAGTCCCTCCCGGGTTGATAGTCCAATATTCTGCATTATCTCCATCTGGAGGTCGGATACTTCCCCTCGACACTATCCGCGTGATATAAATAAGACTATTGAGAACAGTGTATGTGAAGAGACCTGCAATGAGCCCATACGCGACAGAATAAGTCAAAGGCATACAAGCAATCGTCACGAACGCAGGAAGGGCGTCGCCAATATACGCCCAGTTCACGGTGGTGACTTGCCGCATCATCATACAGCCCACTAGAATGAGGGTGCAGCCAGTAGCCCAGGGAGGGATGGATGCAAAGATTGGAGCGAAGAAGATAGATATTAGGAAACAGACACCAGTAGTCATAGCTGTGAGTCCAGTGCGGCCACCATCAGTAATCCCAGATCCGGACTCGATGAATGCTGTTACCGGAGAACAACCGAAGAGAGACCCAATGGAGATCGTGATGGCGTCGCAACAATACGCCAGAGTGGATCTGGGGAAATCCCCGGTTTCGGGATCGACGACCCCAGAGAAATGCGCCATGGAGTACAGAGTTGCGGAGGCATCGACAATGTCAACGTATAGAAAAGTGAAAAGAGCCAGCGCAAAGTGCCGGCCTGCGGCGGCGATGTTCCAGTCTTGAACTACCAGGATGTGTTGGATGGGATGAAATGAAATGATCTTCTTGAAGAAGTCGAACATGGAGTCGCCTAAGGGGGTGTGTGGGAAGTAGGTGAATGACGTGTCGCGACTGAAGGACCCGTTAGTGTATGTTATCAATGGTTGTACCAGCAGTGTGCAACGTACGGCCAGGAAAGAACAGAGACGATTGATATGCCTATTATGATGGCGAACTTGACTTTGTATGACATCAGATAAGCTGTCACAACTCCCCCGCATAATATTCCAATCCACATCTACGGGCCGTTAGCAAAGTCGACGGCTCAAGAGATATGAGACGAACCGCAGGATTCTGCATCTTGTGACTGTCGCAGGCGCCAGTATTGACGTTCAGGTATTGTGCAGGACATCCGCCAATATCAGTTGGAGTATCATTTGATCCTGTAATCAGTCCAATACCTGCTGAGTATGACATTCCAATCTCTGTGAGGAAGAGTCCGATACCAACACCACTTGCAACTTTGATAGAAGCCGGTATTATCCTGACTAGCCACTGACGCATGCCAATTAAGGAAAGGAAGATGAAGATGAATCCTTCAACAAAAACAGCGGTGAGTGCCAATCGATATGGTACAGGTCCGGTTCCGTGGTAGCCAACGACTTGGTACGTAAAATAGGCATTAAGACCCATTCCAGGACTGAAAGCTATTAGCTGAATAACATAGGTTTGAAGCGAAGAACATACGCAAGAGCAACCGGAAGGTTAGTGAAGAAACCAAATGCGAGGGACCCAACACCAGCGATCGCCGCAGTTGCAGTTATTAAATCACGATTGATGGCTACTTGTGTCAGTAGATATAGCTGACGAGCAGCAGGAACCGCTCACCAACCAAACATGCGGCATAGTTAGGGTCAGTGGAACATGCTGGGTCACCAGTATCGTTGCAAACGCATGTTGCGCCGGAATCTTGTAGAATGGACGACTTCGAAGTCAGAAAGAGTAGAGATGATTAGAACTCAAAACCAACATTGACAGCAATTATATATGCCATAGTGAAAAAGGTTGTGAATCCTGCGCGGATCTCGGTGACAAACTTCGAGCCCTTTCGCTCTTTCGGCTGCGGTGTATCAGCAATAGTGCGGAAAGCGATCTGCAGAGCTCACATGGCCAGATCCATCGAGTCGAAACACTCTACCAAATGTTGACTGTGATATCTTGACATCGAGTCCCTCAACTGCGTTCCTGAGCAATTCCATGTATAGTGACAAATACATTCTGTTCAGCATCACGTGGGGAAAACGTGGGAGAAAGAAATCAACTATATGAGAAGTTGACTGTAAGAAGAGAAGACTCGAAATCTACGAGACCATCTTATAGTCAGGGGTGCAGCAGACTTCGAGTTTTACAGCCTGCTGCAAGGAAGAAGACTAGGGGAGCGTCATAGAACGAGAATTCGAGGGGGTAGCCAGTTACAGCCATGCAACTGCAAACAGCCACGACTCTTCACTTGAAGTGGCTTTTCGAGGGACATAGAGGCCGCGGAACAATCCGTTGGCACCAGCAGATGATCGCTGTCTTCCAGATTAGCTTAAGCCAGTACAATTTTGAAAAGTGATGGTGCAAGTAGCCGACGTATGCAGGAAAGAGGTGGATTGATAGGAGATGTATGAATCTAGAGGCAATCATATTTGCTGCGAACGGGGGATCACATGTCCAGTGGTACCGTTGTGAGACCTAACTAGATTCCAGGGATGGAAAAGGGGGTTCAGCCTCCTTCAAGTCCTTGAGGCTGCTTGGAGGCCAGCTCTCCTTTGATCCCCTCTGCTATTCCGTGGGACCAGGCGACTACGCCGCACGCGTGGAACGAATTGAACCTCAAACTCTTTCGTCTTTCTCGGAGTCAAGGTGACGTTTTGATAGACATTTCATAGGTCACCAATCGACCTCCGAATGGTTCCCAAGGATACATATCCTCGTCGATGTGTGGCTGCCTTGCCTCCACTTCGTACAACGTTTCATGGCAAGCCGAGCTCAGGTACAGAAGGGAAAAACCAATCGACCTGTGGTGAGCACGGCAAAATCCCAACTGGATAACCCATCCGCAGGGGAATCGGTGCAACCCAAGAAGTTCGATTTGTGGTTCCTGTCAATGGCCACAGCAGAATCAATGAAGATCCCTCAAGCAGGTCGGTCCCTCAATCAATGTAGTGACTAGGAGCATGCGTGATAATGCAGGAGAAGATAGCACAGATGCAGCAGATGCGAAAGGAGGGTATCGGCATTGCTACTAGTATTTGTGATTGAGTGATGAATGAAATGATTGATTGATAGACCGTAGGCGATGAGAATCCGACAAGAATGTGGTGTTGATGGGAATCTAGGGGGGAAAGCAATGGAGGAAAGGAGAACTGGGTGCTTAGTCATAGATTATCTATACACACCAACATATTATATCTATCCACCCACGTATATTCTAAGGTATAGACGACGTCGATGTATCGTATCGTCGGTTCGCCCTTCCTTCCCCTCAAAGCTTGATTGTCCAACAGCTCATTAAGTTCAGATCTCCACATCTCCTCCCGTGCGCCATCATCGCAGCTCATTGTACTCCTGCAAATGCGGGAGCTATCGAAACGCGAACAGGCACTGGTTGAGATTGCCAACCGGCGGCAGCGCGCAGGTCGTGCAATATCGAATTCTTGCCTTGCGAGTGCATCTCCAAGAAATGCCACAAAGGCGCGGGGCTCGTCTCCCATACCAGACGAAGGATTTTATGTCTAGCTACCATGTGGAAGAAGTTGTCCTCGGTGCTCCAACGCGTGTGCGGCAGACCCCCCAAATTCTATCAGAACGAGGGAGCCTTGTTGTCACTTCCCTTATCTTCAGCATCCCTATAATTTCACCATTACTTCATTGCTAGGAACCTCTCGTTATTCCTCTTTCCTTGATCATCTGGAGATCTGTCTCCTTTCGCGTATCATGTTTGATGTAGATTGGGTTGACCCAACCCGGGAAACAGTGGGCCAACGGAAGAGTCGAAAAGATCAGCAGTCAAATGGCTTTTCTAGATCCTCCTCCATCCGGAGCTCAAGGTCCAGTGACTCTATATCCAACCCGCAGAAACCCTCTCTGTTACGGCTCTTCAGCAGCAAGAAGCCAGATACCGGACGAGCTGCATCCAATTCGAAATTGGCTTTTCAGGGCAATGAGAGCAATCACAAGTCGTCGAAAAGAATGTCAACCTACACCGTCACCTCGGATACGTCGATCCAAGAAATGCCTAAACTAACCGTAGCAGCTTCCCGGAGATCTGCGAATGCCAATGACTTCTTTGCAGGACCTCCTTACAATGCAGGCAGCGATCGATCAGATCCCTCAGATGGTATGCTATACATCCTGCCAGGAATCTCAATCTGACATTTCCAGTATCCGTCTTTTCTGGATGGACAGGTCGTACAGCCACCACGGAATCATCATGGGGCTCTGTCTCGAGCCCATCTTCAACCTCTAAAGGCCAGACCCATATTGTTCAAAAGTTGAGTCGAAATTCACGCGTCACTCGGAGCACTGAGGTTACCGTATCATCGAACGAGAGCATCTGTGCTGCAGAAAAGACATCTACTATCGTCCATATCTCAGCTGAGGGAACGATGCCAGTCCATCTTCACGATTCGCCCTTCCAAAGGTACACATTACATCTCTCATGTGGCTCCGTAGCTAATTCTTCAGATCCCCGTCAACACCGATATCCCCACGATCACCAGCTCCTTTGACGTTTGAATTCCCAATTCCGAAATCTAGCTCTTCAGATGAAGCTTCTCCCGCAGCTCCGGAAAATAAGGACCTACGGCAATCAATAGGCTGGCCCATGACCACGAGACGAAGAGCCGATGCATGGCAGCCGCCAGAAGCATGGGAATGCCAATCGGACGGAAATATTCCCAGACCACCCCAACCCGGGGCTGTCTCTGGATCAACCCGAAGGTCAAGAGAAAAGAAAGCCTCGCCACCTTCCTCCGAGTTCTTGCATGTGCAAAAGAGCATCAGGAAGATGGATGCTGCGAGCCCAAAGATCGTATTGGAACGTTTGAGGGAAGAATGGGACGGAGTTGCCGATGCATCTGTGTATCGGGAGTTGGAACTTGAGAAACAGTTGTGGATGTTGAGTACCTTGAGGTCTCTGAGCAAGAAGCAAGACGCGGTTGCTCAGAGCACCCTAGTACCATCCACACCAGGAACCAAGGTATTGTCCCTATACGAGAACCATGGTAAGGTTGTTTCCATACCCCTACAGAACCAATACTGAGTGGAATCACAGCCTCGGCATCCTTCCTCTCAGTCCTATCCCCCGCCCCAGAAGTCCACCACATCTCTCCCACCCCTCTCTCCCCCAAATCCTACCACAACATCTACCCCCTAACTATCCCGGGGCCCACCCCCCATGTCCCCTACGCCTCCAACATCTTCACCTCCATCCATGCCTTCTCCCTCCCTGCCCTCCTCCCCGCCTCCTCTCTCCCAACCATCCTCAAAGAATGCCACCGGACCCTCGCCCTCCCCTCCCCAACCCTTCCCCCTCCAACCCTTCACCTCACTATCCTCGACCCTGGCCCCCTCCCCTCCACGCTCGGTCCCCGCCTCCGCGCGTGGCTCGACACCCACCTCATCCTGAACCTCGAGCGCCAATTCCGCTGCATCAACCCCTCTCGACTCTTCCCCATTTGGCTTTCCGACGCCCGCCTCCGCGCCCAAGGGAGCACCATCACCAGCGTGCGCTTCCTAGCCTCACCCGGCGATCAGAGCTTCGTCATCGTCGACCACGGCGAGCAGCGCCGCAGGGACGATACCCGCGCCGAGCTCAAGAGCGTCCTGGGCCGTATGCTGTGGCGCGAGATGTGGGGCGCGTACGTCGAGGGCCGGAGCTGGTGGTGGGAGGACGTCGGCATTGTCGAGGAGTGCGAGCGGATGGGGACGTGCTGGGAGTATGCAGTGATCGAGGCCGTCAAGGAAGTCTGATCCTCAACTTACATGTCCAGTTAAATTTCCCTGGCGAGAAAAGGTTGGGTGGTTGTTGAACTCAGGGCGCATTGGTCTGTTTGTGTTCATCAATGTTTTTCATCTTCGCAATAGTCTCTTGTACTCGGAATATCACCATATTGGAAATCGATGGATCGGATCTTTTCTTGCTCCCCTGAAGAGAAACCGGGGACCTGCATATGTACTCTCCTTCTGCCTACGGCTTCATACAGCATCTTCAAATCTAGCTCAAACACCATTCTTCCACAATGCACTGTGCCGCTGAAGCAGGCGCACAACATGCGTTGTCACCCATCTACCCATCTGAATCTCAGTCTCAAGTCTCAGGCTCAATCTCAGAAACCCCCCCCTTTCACTCACACGTACCATCATAAACCCCCCCCCCCCACCCCCTAAAAAAAGCAAGCCTCCCAATTCCCCTCATCGGGCATCCGCTCTTTTAGACAGCACTCGCGCGTAGAGACGAGAATACAATACGATAGGTAAATCACCTACCTACCTATCCCTTATAATCACCTACCTACCTATCCCTTATCACGTGTTCCACATTTCATGCCCATCACCCCCGTTTCAATTTCCAAGCCGCCCTCCGTTGCCACAGACTCACAGAAGGAGAGCAGTAGCGTAGCCATCTAACATAACGCTAGAACACCGACCTAAAAATTCTAGAAAGAAAGCAGACTCTGCAACTTCAAACACCGGCGGCGGGTCTAGGAACAGAAGCGGAAATGCAAAGCGAAAGACGGGATGGGCGGGCTGGGCTGGCTTTAGAAGGTTCTTGGTGTCCTCCACTCTTTTACGGAGTACGGAGTACGGAGTCAGGGGTTTCAGACTGTTAAAAGGTTACTATAGTGGATCTAATAGTAGGGTTATAATAAATATAATTATATTACTTAAGGATTACAGAGGGTGTATTACCCTACATATATACGTGTACATAAAAAGGTATAGCTAGTTCTGACCTAGTCTACGTGACTAACGTCATGTAATAACATGTAATGCCCTACATATATACAGCTTTACATGACTTAGTTTAGCACTCCTACTTAGAGCCAGACTAACACCTTTTAATAAAACCTAACCTCCCTAAAACTTAGTAAGAAAAAAGGGTTTAGTTAGGAAAGAGTTAGTGTTAGTAATCTCTTCTTATTCTGATCTCTAGCTTTCTTAAGTTTATCCTATAGTTGTATTAAGGTTTCCTTAAAGGGCGCGTTAAGGCGACTGTCTTCTATTTTAACTTCTCCTACAGGTTCTTCTCTAGGTAGCTTGTAAGCTTTAGGTTTTCCTATAGATTCCTCTTTAAGTAGCTTATAAGCTTTAGGTTCTCTAATAGATTTATCTCTAGGTAATCCTTTTGTCGACTAGTTTTAACTTCTAAGAGTTTGACTTTATAGTAATAGCGACCGGTATCTAGTTAGTAAGGCACGACGATTTCCTTGTCTCTATTTCTTACGTTGTTTTAGAGAGACTCTAATAGCTATTTCCTTTATTTTGTTTTTATCTTAAGGCTAGTTCTCTTAGGTTTAAACAGAGCTTCTTAGCTAGTAGCTAGTTAGCTTAAGACACTTTCCGTCCGGGTTTCCTCTTAGTTTACTAACTATCTAGACCTTATGTATCTAGATACCTCTGTTTTTAATACAATAGTCGACAAACTTTTACTATATTCTAAAAAGGTCGTGTATATAGATTAGTCCGGTCGTCTGTACGTTATAGTTGTATATAATGATCCTAAAACCTCTATAAAGGTGTTAGACTATTACGGCCTATATATAAAACAGTGTGTTAGCCTAGTTAGGGTTTCTAACCTAAGACTTAGTCTGTATATAGAAGAATCCTATCTAATTAGTCTACTATTCTAGACGTTCCTTCTATAGGTCTAAGAAGTACCTAAAATTGTATATGTTAGGGACCTGTTTCTAATTTTCTTTCTCTACTACATTTATAAAGGCTATTAGGTAGGTATAGAGTAGCTATAGCGTGTTCCTTTTGCTTAGATAATAGTCTGATTTGTAGTACTTAAAGCTTACTCTAATTAGCTATAGATACCTCTAAATGTCGCTAAAGGTAGAGTCGTCTATAAGGTTAGACAATAGTAGAACGTATTAGTTTTGTAGTAAGATATCTAATAGCTACTGCCTTAATAACGTCTTGTAATCAAGTAACATAGTGTTTTGTGTTAGTAAGTAATTAGATTAGAGAGGTAGGAGCCTAGTATTTGTAGACAGGGGCGGGCATCTCCCCTCCTGCCTTGCTTAGCTAATCTAGCTACTAGAAATTTTTTTAGCCTCCCCTCTTTTTTTCTAAAACAGTACCTGTACGGTTAAACATCCTAAAAACAGAGGTTAGGGGCCTTAGAAAGTATACGAGTTAGATAAGAGTCGCTATTTTTGTATATAATAACTCTTACTAAAGTTAGAGTACGCTAATAAGCCGGTAGAAGGTAAAAAACTTATCGCGACAGAGCGGCTTAGTAAGACTATCTACGACCTGCTTGTCTGTTAGTATGTACTATAGTGTAATAGTACCCTCTTAAACCTTCTCTCTTCTAAAATAATAAGCGATGTTAATGTGTTTTGTGTAAGTATAGAATTGTGGATTCCTAGTAAGGGCAATTGTAACGGACTTAGGCTGTCTAGGGTAGTATCGGTTTAAAAGGATTTCTTATTCTTAAGGATCATTAAAGGACGGCTACTAACAGGAGCTGTATACAGGTTCGCTTTAGTAAGCGCTTAGTAATAGGTGCCCTAGGCATCTCCTAGGTACACCCTATAATAGTCGCCCCCTCTTTATAGCTATCGCCCTTAATAGCGTTAAACTATACCCCTTATCCTTTTATAGCGATATCTTCTTTAACCTGCCCCTCTACTATTACCTCTCTATCCTCTACGACTATTAGCGGTTCCTTGTCCTCTATCTGCTCTCTAATCTCCTTTATGTCACTATGTTAACAGTAATAGTTTAATAGGCGTAGCGGCTAGTAAGGAGTGCTATCCGGATCTATACTCTATAGGTACGGGTTTAGGGTACAGACGGCCATATTTACTACTACTAGCTATTCGTATACTAAACCCTAGCCGAACACCTAGGCTACAGTTCGGACTACCTGTAGTAGTTTAAAGACCTCTTTCTCTAGGAGGATATAGTGCTTAGCGTACTCGTTCTACTCTATACGTCCTTACAAAGAATACTAGGCTGTTAACCTAGTTCTAGCTAACTAGACTAACATCTTAAGGTTATATTTTATATAAGCCGCTAATTCCTTTTTGTTATAGTTTAATAGAGCTATAGTAACAAATTAATTAAAAGTTTAGAGACCCGGGACTAGTACGTTATCTGTATTTACAAATGCTTGCTTCTGGTCGACAAACACCTAATTAGAGGCGAAGCGGCCTGGGTAGATCTTTAAGTTTTCTTGTCTTTAGCACGACCAGACCGAGTTCCTAGGCTGTTTTGCCCTGTATTTTTATTTGTCGTCTCTTGTTCTAGTTAAAAACGTCCTAGTAAAGTGTGCTAAATAGAATGTTAGAGTCCTTAGCTCTACGCTTTACTTTTAATAGTTGTGCTATTAGTACGGCCTACGTGTTCTAATCTTAAAAGACTATACACAGGAACTATAGCTCTCCTAGGTTTAGAAGTTCTAATACTAGGGCTAGGAGGTTGTTATTACTTATTCTTAGGAACTCTATGTCTCTACTAGTTATTTAATCGACATTTTATAGGACAAATGTTCTAGTTTCCTAATTAAACACTTTAAACTCTTCTTTATCCCTTTTCCTTATTATATAGGCAGGTTCTGTTTATAGTAGAGCCTATATGCCCTTTACTATACCTATGTTACTTTGTTTATCCGCTTCTACTAATTACAAGGGTTCGTCCTCTAATACTCGGCGCCTTATAGGCCTTAATAAGGTATCGTCTTACTCTATAACGCGTTGTCGCTTTGTCGAGCTACTACTACCTACCTCTAGGGCTTTTTGTCTTGTTAGTAGTAGCGTGTTAAAGAGTTGTTAAGCTACGTTCTTCTAAACTAGGGCTATAGTAGGCTCCTACTCCCGGGTATTCTACTAGGCGAAGTACGCCTTAAAGTACGCCTACATTCGCTATATAGCGTAATCCTAGTCGATCTCTAGATTAAACTCTTAGAATAGCTGTTTAACAAAACGTCTGTCTATAATATAATATACCTAAAGGCGTTTAAACTTTAGGTCTATTAGAGCTATAGACAAGGTACTTGTACTACTTCTCTAGATATAGATCTAGTAGGCTATTCTCTAATACGTTTTATTATCTAGATTAAACCTATTTATTACTTCTCTAAAAGCTCTAGATACATAAACTAGAGCGATCTGTAAGAAAGGCTCCTTAGTTTCTTTAACCTAAAAAGAGAACTTATACTTCTTAGGTTAGTTTACTAGACAGTAAGATTTGTATAAAGTAACGCTTTATACTTAATTAGATTTAGACCTAATCGCTCTTATAATAGCGTTTTAGTAGGCTGTCTTTAAGTCGAGCCTAGGAGCCGCCTAGGACCCTTAAGAAGTAGAGTAGGTAGTACTAGTGTTTAAAGCCGCGAGAGTAGAGTAGGTAGGGCTAGCGTTTAATACTGTAGAGTCTTGTTAGATAGGCTTTATTTTCTATTAGTAGAAAGCGTTCTAAAGTATTCTATAGGCTTAATAACTTAAGATGTAAGTCCTATAGACTTAGTTACTATAATAGTTGTATTAGTTAGGGTTAGAGAAGTTAGAGGAATAAGGTAGGTAGAGTTGTTAAGTTGTTAGTTAGATTAAGTCGCCTACTTATTAAGGGAGAGTTATAGTAGTATTAATTAGATTAAATACCTTCTAGGTAATATTTACTTTTATAAACAAAGAGAGTAGTTAACGGTATTGTCTAGGCCGCCTCTAGCGTTACTACTACTATTGTTAGGGCCGTCTTTAGCGTTACTACTACTTATTGTCTAGGCCGCTTTTAGCGTTACT